AAATGGGGTCCTGACCCACAGGCTGAGAACCACTGTTCTAGTCCCACTTTAAGCACCAAAACCAGCTAGGTGACTTTGGCTAGTCGCTCTCCCTAAGTCCGACCCACCCGATAGGGTTGTTGATGTTGTGGGGAAATAGGAGAAGGAGCACAGGTTGTCCTCAACCTACAACAGTTCCTTTAGCGACCATTCAAAGTTACAACCATATTGAAAAAGTGACTGATGTCCATTTTTCACACTTACAACCATTGCAGCCTCCCCGTGGTCACTTCAAGATTCGGGCGCTTGGCAACTGGCTCGTGTTTATGACGGTTGCAGTGTCCCGAGGGGGTCACGTGATCCCCTTTTGCGACCTTCCGTCCAGCAAAGTCAATGAGAGAGCCGGATTGACTTAACCACCGAGTTACTAACTTATCAACCGCAGCGATTCCCTTAACAACTGTGGCAAGAAAAGTCGTAAAATGGGGCAAAGTTCACTCAACAACCGTCTTGCTTGGCCACAGAAAGTTTGGGCTGAGTTGTGGTCATAAGTCAAGGCATACCTGGTACATTTGCCCCCTCGAGTTATTTGTAAAAATAATAAAGGCAGGATACAAATCAATCAATCGTTAAGCTTAAAGGGATTCCCAACAGAAACCTCAATTTGCTCTTCCGTAGATCAGGTAACCAGTGAAGACGGCTCCGGCATCCTCTCCTCAAAGCATGTGTGGTGGAGGGGGCCCCTCTTTTCCAAGCCGGCGTCTCCCCCAACATCCAAGAGTGGAAATGCAGAGCTGGACCTGAACCGAAGGAGAACCGAAGGGGAGAAGCAACATGGCTGGGCTCTCCAACAAGGACGGTTGGGATATATCAAAGACTGACCAAAAGGACCATTTTTGACAACAAGGCAGGGATGCCAGCTGCCCCTTTAGCTAGTTTGGTGTCCTGGGGAAGTTGCTGGACCTGGAATTGCGAGGTCCTGAGTTCTAATCCTCCTTCAGGCATGAAAAGTGGCTGGCTGACTTTTGAGCTCTCCCCTCAGCCCAGCCCACCTTGCAGGGTTGTGATTGTTGGGGAAAACGGGCACAGGGAGCATCCTATACCCCCCCCACACACACATTTACGCAATAAATGTGCAATAAATAATCCACCGACCCCGCCAGTAGCCATTGGGGTCTAATTTGACCAAAGGGGGGGAACACAGTTGCTTGGTTGCAAACTCCGCTCGGCCACGGGCCTCTCATGAGAGCCTGGCCTACCGCGCAGGGTTGTTGTAGCAAGTCAGTTCAGTCAAGTCCAGTCAGTTTAGCCAGGATAGCACAAAATGGAGTGAAAGGCAAGCTCTTTTCTGTTCGGTCACTTTCAGGGACGACCGTCTTGCTTTCCCGCGTGGAGGATTGGCGCTTCCCACGCTTCGCCTCCCCTCAGAAGGCGAACCCCGGCGCATGCGCTGTGGAAAACGTGGTGTGTTGGGGTTTTTTGACCCGCTGGGCTCGCCGTCGTCGTTCCCACGCCAACCGCCAGGGTGAGCCCAACCCCTCCTGGCCCTGTTGCCTTGACGCATGCGCGCCCTGACTTTAACCCGGAAGCGGAAAGTGTTCCTTTCTCAGCGCGCCGGAGTCGGTTCTCGAGCGAGCGGTGGATCCATCGCAGCGGCATCATGTGAGGAAGGCGGGAGGGAGATTAAGGGGCTGCGGGCGGGGGGGGGATGATGGACTTGTCTCTCTCTTGTGTGTGCGCGTGTGTTTGTGTTTGTGTAAAATATGCATAGAGCCTTCTTATGGGCCTTACCGTAAATCTTGGAATAGGCGCGCCTCTTGAAATCTCTCAGCTCTCTTCTCTCACTTTGTGGTCTGCGTTCTCCCCCCCCTTCCATTCCTGCTTTTTTGGGGGGGATATTTCCTTGTATGGCTGGGATGAACTCACCCAATTTTGGGGGGGGCTTTGTGGGGGGTGTAATCTCTTTCCCTGGCACCTACTTACTGAGTGATCGTATTTCTATCCCTCCCCCCTTAAAACGTGACTCTGGAGGAGCATACAATAAACAGCATAAAAAGGTAAATTTTAGAGAAATTATACAATTAAGAGCTTATGATGAAAGGGGAGAGAGCACTAAATGCTGGAAACAATGTACTTCATTAAGTCACCATTTCCTGGAGATCCTTAGAGCTCCTTTATTTGGAAGGATGGAATTTTATTTGGATGGAAACTAATCAAGGAGAGAAGCAACCTAGAACTAAGGAGAAATTTCCTGACAGTTGGAACAATTAAGCAGTGGAACAACCTGCCTCCAGAAGTTGTGGCTGCTCCAACGCTGGAAGTTTTTAAAGAGATTGGACAACCATTTGTCTGAAATGGCATAGGGTCTGCTGCCTGAGCAGGGGGTTGGACTAGGTGACCTCCCAGGTCTCTTCCGACTCTGTTATTCTGTTCTATTGTATTTATATTTTTCAGTTCTGTGGTGGCTCTAATTACCAATTACATTTCAGGAATGTTCTTCTCTGCACTTAACCTTGGTTCAACCTGGTTTTCTCAGATTCTAAGGCATACAAAGCCATAAATGAACCCATGGGCGGGTGTTTGACATACTGAGCTAAAACAAGACTGGCTGATTAGTAGGTTGTGGAAATGCAGTCTGTAGGCTCTAGAGTCAATAGGTTTGGGTGGCCATAATGACTTTAATGAAATAAGGAAATAAATTATGTTCTAATTGCCCTCAGACACAGGGTTCCCACTGTGTCTGAGGGGACAGTCGTAGCTTGTAAACCTTGCTGTGCTTGACCAAGAGAGATTCAGCACCGACTCCTGGTTTCAGTATTGGTAGCTATACCGTCTTCCATCAAACAGCCCTTTCTTAATGTAATAGATCATTGTTCCCATTATTCTGGACCTATTTGGCTATTGGTTGGAGGAAAACATAGGTGGAGATTCCAGGCCTTGCAATCCATATATTTTCTCTCTCTTTAAGATATACAGTAAGTTTGTATCTTTGTCGTTGGAAACTAGAGAGCAGGGACCCTAAGTAGGCAAATAGTAGTAATAGCTTTCTACTCTATTCTGAAGAACAGCTGTAGTCTGGTGATTTATATGTGTAGCATCGTGTTGGTAACTGTTCTAAATTAGTGCAGAACAGAAGTTGGTGCTTTTCTGTTGCAGAATTACTGGGAGAGCTTAATCTGAGACTTTGCCTCTCGTTCCCCTTTAGTTATGCATGGTGATTATCTGAAGGGGGGGCACAATTTATCTACTGCATTTTCCCCCAATAATTTGTTAAAAGGAATATAGTGCTATTAAGAGAACTTATTTTCATCCAATTAAAGGCTTATGGCATAACCCCAAAATCTAACATTATGTATTTATTTTCCTTTTTTTTTTTTTTTAAGGAGCCTCTTAAACAAGCCCAAAAGTGAGATGACCCCCGAGGAACTGCAAAAACGGGAAGAGGAAGAGTTCAACACAGGGCCTCTGTCAGTGCTCACACAATCCGTTAAAAATAATACCCAGGTGCTCATCAATTGTCGCAATAACAAGAAGCTTCTGGGGCGAGTCAAGGCCTTTGATAGGTAGGTTCTCATCTGGAAACGTCTCCATTCCGTCAGATTATCTCCGGGCTTAGTTTATATTTTCAGTGAAACAATTCTGTTGTGTTCTCGTTCCTTTGAGGTTTCTTGTTCAGGAGAAATACAGGTAGTCCTCATCTTACAACCATTCATTTAGTGACTGTTCAAAGTTACAATGGCAGTGGACAAAATGACTTATGACTGTTTTCCAGAGTCGCAGCAGCATCATGGTCACCTAATCTGGACTAGAAGACCTCTAAGGTCCCTTCCAGCTCTATTCTATCCTAATCAAAATTTGGCCTGAGCTTGTGAGGGTTGCACTGTCCTGGGGTCATGTGATCACCCTTTCTAACCATCCCAGCTGACTTCTGACAAGCAAAGTCAGTGGAGGAAGCCAGATTCGCTTAACAACAGCATGAATCACTTAACAACTGCAGTGATTCACTCATCTGTGGCAAAAAAGGGTCATAAAATGGGGGCGCCACTAGGTCTGCAACTGTCTTCCTTAGCAGTGGAAATTTTAGGCTCGGTTGTGTTCGTAAACCGAGGGCTGCCTGTATGCAGCTATAGGATTGCCGAGAAGTAAAGGTGCTTTGGATCCAGCACAGGTACACAACTGTCAGAACTGGTGCTTTTCCTGGGCTCGGGTGGGATTCATATGGACTGCAAAAATATGGCTATGGTGAATTCCCAGGAAAGCTCAAAACTCCTTTAAGTAGCTGCCAGCGGGTAGCGTAAACACATCGCACAGTGGACTCAAAGTTCTTTTCCCATTTCCGTATATTTTTCAGTCTTGAATTCTGTGGGGAGTCAAGGAACAGCAGGGTTGGGAGTTGACCAGAAGCCTGTTGGGGAAATTTTGTCTCTGTATAACAGACCTTTCTTCCACTAGGCACTGCAACATGGTGTTAGAGAACGTCAAGGAGATGTGGACCGAGGTGCCCAAAAGTGGGAAAGGCAAGAAGAAGTCCAAGCCGGTCAACAAAGACCGCTACATCTCAAAGATGTTCCTGCGGGGAGATTCAGTCATTGTAGTGTTAAGGAATCCTCTTATTGCTGGGAAGTAAACAGGCCGAGGTGGATCACGAGCCTGGCAATGCCAAGATGCCATATACAGGATCCTTGTCAAGAGACTGGAATCTGTTGCCTTTAGTTTTAAGGCAGGGATCTCTTACACTCAACTCTCCTTCAGATGTTTCTTTTGTCACTAACATGTAGTTCTGGGATGTGCTGACTCATGAAATTCCCGTCATTTGAGTTTTGTTTGTGGGGTTTTGATTTTTTTTTTTTCCTTTTTGTAATAAACATTTTGTTGAATTTGTTGAATTTGCTTTTTATTTACTGGTGCAGGCACTTCTACCTAGTATTTCATGATGTTGGAGAGACTTACACTTATGAATAACTGGGTTTCTCTCACCTGGTGATGTTAGATGGTTAGATGTTGGATAAAACTTGTTTGCACTTGGAGACAGTACACATTACATTTCTGACAGGACAAGTCATTGGGCCTTCTTTCCTCATGTCTTCACCACCTGGTTAGGCAGCCTATCTTAAAGATTCTTGGATCAAACCAAATGAAGAGTATTTTTGCAGCCAGGTATCTCTCACCGATTGGAACAGAGTTTTTTATCCAGAGGTTTGAGACTGGTCATGCCTACATGTGTTTTAATTCAGAGAAAATAAGTATTTTTAGTCCTGTAAATGCCCTTTTCTTTCCTCCTTAAAATGTCTATTTTTTAAAATCTCTGGTAAGGAAGGGATATTTGGGGATATATTTACTAATTCCAGCATTTTCCATTAAATACTATCACACCCCTGATCAAACCCTAACACCAACAGGAAAAAAAAATATCCTAATTCTGACCCCAAATCTCTAGCTTTTAAATTCACTTGCCTGGCAGGAAAGTGTTATGAAGTGGCGGCACCTCCAACACATTGGCAGGCATCCTCCCAGATGTGGAAAACGGGCTGGAGCTGCAGATGCAGAGGAGAGTGCTTTCAAGGGCATCTCGGAAGGATCGCACGCGGAAGACGTAGACCACCGGGTTGATGGCAGAGTTGGCGTGGGAGAGGATTATGGTGGCCAGGGTCAGCTGACTGGGGATACAACAGGTCGGGCACAGGAGCATGACGGTGTTGAGGATGTGAAGCGGCAGCCAACACAGGATGAAGAAGAAAAGGATGAGGAAGAGCGAAGTGGCCATCCGCAGCTCCTTGCGCGCGATGATCTGGCGTCTCTTTTGGGCGCTGATATTGACCTCCCCTTCGGCCACTTTCCGGATCTGACACCTGACCTCTGAAAAGATGCGTCCGTACAGCATCAGCATGACCACCAGGGGGGCCAGCATGCACCCCATGAAATTGAAGTAAACCATGTAGGTGCTGGTGATGATGCTGTTGAAAAGGCATTCCCTGTTGGGAGGCAAGGGGTCGTGCCAGCCCATCAGAGGCACCAGGCTGGTCAAGATCGACAGAAGCCAACAAGCCGAAATCACCAGCAGGGACTTGCGGGGGCTCAGGAGAGACTGGTACTGGAACGGTTTCAGGATGGAGATGTATCTCTCCACCGCAATAGCCAGTAGCCCAAAGATGGAGGCTTGGGTAAACATCAAGAGCAAACACAGCATCAAGAGACACAGTTGTGGCCTGGACCGGGGCAACCCCACATCAGTGAACTGGGCACAGGGGATGACCACCGCCCCGACCAGGAAATCTGCCACAGCCAGCGAGAGCAGAAAATAATTGGTGACGGTGGAACGCAACTTCCTGTTCCGCAAGATGACCGTGCAGATGAACAGATTGCCCACGATGGACAGCAGAGCAGTCAGGCTGTCACTTACCAAATAGGGGATGTCCACAACAAACGGGGAGGTTGCGTTAGCGGCTAGCGAGCACTGGTGCAGCTTCGCGAAGGATGAATTCTCCAAGCTACCCATCACAAGAGTGGGGCCATTTGGGCTCCGTTAAGGAGAGTCTTCCGGTTTTTAAAACTCTGCAGATCGTTGTCCCATCACCTTCCATGCTTGAGGAAAAGGAAGCCTCGGTAAAATGGGGCTGGGTGAGGAGGAGAAAACTCCGCTGAAAATTCCGCCAGGTTTCGCCATCATACTCGCTGCTTTACTCACGTCTGTGAATCAGAAACATTTAAATTGTCCACATGTATAGCAAGGAAGCATCAGATGTACAAGGTGTCACGGTTCCGACACACAGAGACAAAACAAAAGAGTTTGTAGAGTTGACACGAGCTGCTGTATTTTGGGGTCCTTGCTGCTCTCTGAGCTTGGTGATTTCCTTGCAGACATTTCATAACCCAACTAGTTAACATCATCAATGCTTTAAGGGAGTGGGGTTTGTGGAGTGGAGGAGGAGGAGGACTGTAGGATTCTTGGTGCTCTCTAAGCTTGGTTATTTTCTTGTAGACCAGTGGTTCTCAACCTTTTTAATGCCGCGACCCCCAACCAGTCGTAAGTCGAGGACTACTCAATCAGTCGTAAGTCGAGGACTACTCAACTGGTGCAGCACCGTTTGCAGAATGGGACTTTTGGCGGGGTCAGCAGGGCAGAGACAGCCTGGACCATTCCTATTGACTTTTGAAAGCCAATAGAATTAGACTCTATTCAAGAGAGTCTATTCTATTGGCTTTCAAAAGCCAATAGAATAAAAGGGAGTAGCACAGCTAAGGAAACGGGGAAAAAAATGGCGGACTGCGTTGTTTGGCGACCCCCGTGAAATGGTCGTTCGACCCCAAATGGGGTCCCGACCCACAGGTTGAGAACCACTGTTGTAGACGTTTCTTTACCAACTAAGTAACATCATCAGTGTTAGAAGGGAGTGAGGTTTGTGTAGAGGAGGAGGAGGACAACTATGGGGTCCTTGGTGCTCCCCAAGCTTGGTTATTTTCTTAGTTTTATTTAGTTTCATTTCCAAACGAAGTAACCTCACCAGTGCTAGCCCACAGTTCAACCCTGAGTTATAAACATTCCCTTCTATCAGATGTACAGTATGTTGCAAGATTTAGTCTTATAAAAGCAAGACATAGAATCACACCCTCACATTTGGAAAGTAAATACTCCTGACAAAGAAGCAACAAGGGAGAGGATTTCTTTGGAAGACTCCAATTAAAGCTGGCATCTGACTTACCTACCCATCTCGGCTGTCATCCCCCAGTGCAAAGGAGTGCCATCAAAAGCGAGAAACGACCCCTCCAAAAATCGCCTCGTGTGCAATCAGAAACGTCTGGTCCAACCCTGATTCATTTCTCCCTCTGCTGCCTCTGCCTTCTGATGTTTATAAAAATTAGATCTGATAAGTCGCAGTCGGCATACAAAAGCTGATGCAAACTGTGCTTTGCTGCAGAAAAGGGAGGAAGAAAGAAGATGTACAGGAACAACCAAACGCATTTTAGATTCTCTGGGATGAGACGTGCAGCAAAGTTGTGATCATATTGCAGAGTTGCAGCCCTCAAATGGGGGGGGGAGGGAGACAGCAATACAGCAGGGATCGATCTTCTGCTATCTCAGAACCTCCTAATTTTTCAGCCTCTGGGCTGCTGTGAAAAAGCCACATGATTCATACAAACATTCCCTGCAAAGAAACTCAATTCAAGGTAAACATTAGATCCTCTTGCTTTGTTTTGCTTGTGATGTTACCATTAAAGCTATAGGAACAGAGGCAGAGGGGGGTGGGAGAGAAATCACCACAAATTGGATGATCCCAGAATTCTAAAGAGTGTGTTTATTCTCCACTTAGGAAAATTCAGCAAGTAAGTATCTCCTAAAAGTTAAAAATATATATATTTTTTATATCAGGGAAGCCTATAAAAATATATATTTTTATCTGCGGAGAAAGAAATCACAGGCATCATAAAAGCTTTTATCGAATGGATAGTTCATTAAACCTGTTAAGCTGCTCAGATGGTGAAAGGAACCAAGCACAGCTGTGAATACAGCCTGGATAAATAAATATACAATCCCAACCAGCAAAATGCAAGCATAATCTAGGAATATAAACTTGGTGAAAAGGTCACTCATTACAGGCTAGTTTTCCTATCTGCAAACAGCTAGCTTTTTATTTGTGTGTGAAATTTCAGAGATTGATTTTTGTTTGTTACACAAAATGGTATGAAAGGTAGTTCTATGAAAACCACAATTGCCTTGGAGAGCTAAATCAATATTGTTTGAATAAACATTATTTGGGGTCAGAAAGAAGGGATTTCAAAGGAAATGAAAGGATGAGAAGAAAGCAACCTCTTTGTGGGTGAGTCCTTTTTCTCAAGAGTGTTATTTATATTATTTAGTTCAAAAATTATCAAATTTATTTGCTGCCCATCTCATGGTTCAAGCCAATAATAAAAATATTTATTTTGGAAAACTTTTTCCCCGATTATGCTTTGTTTCATATTATTTCTTGGCTAAAACCTTTTATTGGCATTATGACAATTATTTATAGCTTGTGTGGGTTTATTTTCTTTCAAAGGTAAATAAAAATGTAAAAGGAGTATCTTTTAAATAGGCTAAAAACATTAGGACCTGCAAAGATCTTTTACCAGACCAGTTTTGGCAAATACATTAAATGTGATTTTTATTGAGCATCTACATCATTTGCATGTCAGGCTGGGATGCATTTGTGTAAATATATTCCACCATTTATTTGTGGATAAGTCTAATAGGGGTGGGCACCACAGTTATCTCTCTGAAATATAGTATATACATTAGTGCTTCTAGTAGCATGGCTGGAGCATTCTGGGAGTTGAAGTCCACACACCTTCAACTCGTAAAGCTTGAAGAGCGCTGTTCTATTGATCAACAGCGACGGAGGAGCGAGGCCAGTCTGCAGCCATCCCTCAAAGCAATCCATCCCCTACATCCCATCCCACCAAAAAAAAAAAAACCAGCACAGCACGCAACCCCCGCCTTTTATACTGGCGTCTACTCCCGCCTTTTGGCGGGAACGAGAGCCACGCCAGCGGATTGGCCAGCCTCTCTTTCCCTTAAATGCCGCCTCCCCGCCCTCCGCCTAGGAACCAATCGGTTCCCTCCGTCTGCCCTGTGAGGTGGAGGGATTGCCCTCCCGCCTCTTTGGCCTTTCATGGGCAAACTCCGCCCCTCCCGCGAGCGCCTCTCCCTCTCCGCCCACTCCGGCACGCGCTCCCCCGCGCGCGCCCCTGAATTGCGCGGGCCCCGGCCTGGCACGAGCACGCGCCGCTGTGCTTGCTGCTTCCCGCTCCCCCTTCCCTCCCCCCCTTCGTGCTCGTGTCCGCCATAAAGGCAGCGAAGGTATCCTGAGGAGATCCTATCAGCTGCTCTCCTCCCTTGCCATGAATGTTTCCCCCCCCATTGCTAGTTTACTAAGATCTGAGGAATTGGGGGGTGTCCCCCAATCTTCCTCATCCTTTATTCCTTTCCTCCTTCCTCCCACCCACCCCCCTCAAAAAATATACATAAACTGTTATCCTCTCTTTGGCTAAAACTCTTCTGGATTCTCTTTTCTAACTCAGGCCAAGCCTGGCTGGATGGTTTGTAGCCCTGAGCAGCCAAACTTGGTTTTAAGGAATAAGCCATGATGGTCTGGGGATGCATGGTGTCCATTGTGGTTTATGTCTTGGATGGGGGTTCAGTTTTGAGCAAGCTGGTCAAAAGAGAGGAGGGTGAGCTTGAAATGGGGTGCAAAGGAGATCCCTTGGCTGAATCTCTTAGAGGGATTTGTTCCTCAGACAGGCTGGGGGGGGAAGGGCTTTTGATGCCCCCATAGAGAGAAATTAGCTATATTCTGCCTCATGAGCATCATCATCATCATCGTCTTCTCCTTCTCCCCCTCTCCCCCTTCCTCCTTTTCTCCTTCCCTTTTTTTTTCCTTCAATTCCCCTTTCTTTTTTCCCTTCCCTTCTTTTTTCTTCCTTCTTTTTCTTCCTTTCCCCTTTTCTGCATCTCATCCTGACATCAATTTGCCATCCTTACCAACTTCGGATCTCCCGGAGGGGAAGCCTTCCAGCAAAATCTGATGAAAATGGCCAATTTTCAAAATCTAGACTGTTGACACCTTCCTTTATTTTCTCCTCTCGGAAATAAAGTTTTATTTCTATACTACCCCCTTCCCAAATAATCTTTATCCCCCAGGACTTCCAGGCGGGACCTGGGTTCACTCTCTCTCAAAAACAGGATTTTTATGGGTAGTCACAAGTGGCTGTTATTTCCTTTCTGGCCTTCAGTTTGTAGCGTGCAAGAAAGTTAACCAACGTTTACCTTTTGGATGGGCTATTCACCGCTGTTTGATTATTATAGGATACCCCCGAAAAACAGATCTGTTCCCCTATGCTCTCTCATGCTGTCTCTCTCTTATATAGTTCACATAACAGTGTTGTTCCCCACTTTTCTGTTCTTCCTGGAGAATCTCTTTCTAGAAGCTTCACTGCCATTTTGAATCCCTAAATTCACTGGGTTTGTTTTTTTTTTACTGTACTGGTGTTTCCCCCCATTGATTGACTGAATTTCATTATTTATTTAAAACGTAGCCAATTTTCCTCTCCATAGTTCCTCCCCAGTCAATTCAGGGTTCCCTATCTATCACAGTGGCACTTTATTCCTCCCATTAGCAATGACAACATCTGTTTCCTCAGGATCCTCCAACAGAACAATTGCAATAGCCATTACTTTCTTGAGTGTTGATCTCTTTGGTGCTTTGACCAGATCCTGTTTTTGGAACAAATCTGTACCACTTGTGATCTTTTCTTTGGAGCACAGCTCTTCTTGGTGTCTGGAATGAGCTTGATAGCTGATATTGTAGTCTTGAGGCCCCTGCAGATATATAGTAGATATTTGGCATATGAGTTCTGTAGGTCTGTTTTCCATTTAGCCCATGCAAGAAAATATAGCATTCTTTTCCATTTAATTCCAAAATGGAGCATTCTATTCAGGGAACATTTTCTTTGTTTTAGGGGTCTTCCTCTGAGGAACTCCTGTCTCCTAATTCCTTTACTCCATTGTATATGCAATTTGTCCTATTATAGTAATGTTTTTTAATCTTAGCAAGTATGCTGGCTGGAGAATTCTGGGAGTTGAAGTCTTAACGTTCTTAACATTGCTAAGGTTGAAAAACATTTTCTTAATAGGTTTCCTCTCAAACTCTTTACACTTTCCCCATCACAGGTTTTTTTTCTTGTGTTTTATGATTCAGGAATCAAGAAACTTTCTCTTCACTTCTCTCATTACAGATGTGGGACCAAATAGGGTGGGTTTGCTCTGAGGAAATGCAAGCAAACAGTAACAATTACAAACAAAATTGTGATGACAGGTAAGGAAAGAAAGCAAACAACCTAAAATCCAATATTTTCAATGATGATGATAATAACCATTACTATCAAGTTAAGCAAAGATTGTTTTAATACAGCTCTAAGTTATATATGATATAGTACATATATGCATCTATCTGAGACTATCGCATTGAATAGAATGAAGTGGAAGGCATTAAAAGTTCTTCCAGTGATATTAATGTATTAAATATTAATATTTGACAATTTAATAACATCCAAAGGATAGTACTAGGTTGTTTAGGATGCTAAATTCTGTATTTGGACAATGAGAGCATTGCATCTGGAGAATAAAAATAGCAAGTGCTAGTGTATAGAGAAAGGGAGTCTATGTATTTATAAGAAATATCTAACATTCCTTCTCTCTTCCTTTTTAATAGAAGGAAACGCAATAACTACACCAACACACTTAAAGAATTGGCTCAGATGTTACCCATACCACTGCAGACCAGTTGTAAGAGGTTGACAAAGGTATTATAATAAAATAATTTATCATAAATGTTAAAGGAATGTTCTATAATTTTGGATCTACACAGAAATTCAAATTGGGCCCAGTTGTACAACAGAGTTAATGTCCTGATTCCAAACTATACTGAATACAAATGGCAGGTGTTTCTTTTCTTGTTTCTGCTCTTTAATTTTGTGTTTTTAATATTTAAATAGAAAGAAATCCTGCTCCGAGTCCTTCGTTATATTGAACATCTGCAGACAAGCATCGATAGAGCCAGGTCACTGCTCCAAGGTCGTGGCAGGGAGCAAAAAGGTAGGAAATGCCAGAATAGAGGCAGAGAACACCCATGGTTAGACAGTGCAGAGGATATACCTGAGCAAAACTTGTGGTCCGTATTTTTTCTTTCTTAAAAGCAGTTGGATCTCAGCAGGTGGTGACACCTGCCCTGAAGAGAGAGCGCAGAGAAGTCACACCACGGGCAAAAAATCCCAAACCCCGGGGCGTCTACAAGAAACCCAGAAAGAGGAGACGGACCCGCAAATCAGGTCTGGGAAGTATTCCACAAGCTTGGGGTTTCCACACTGGTTGCTTTGGTGTGTTGTGCTTTGTAGGTTTTGCTTCCTTCTTCTGCACAATCAGCCATTGCAGCACATCCATTGACGACTTCAGTAGTTTTAGACATTTTTTCTTGTCCTCTTTGGATCTTGAGTTGATACCAGGCAGAGGCAGGTAGTGGGTGTGACATAATATGCTTGTTGCTTTTTGATGGCCAGCAGGTACTGTGTAATAGTTGCATAGCTTAGCCAAGAAAAAAACTAGATAAGTGGGGTTTTGCCCTTCTGGGGAGGTTAAAAAGGAAAATAAAAAAAATGTGAGAACTGATTGAGCTAAGGAAATTGGTATTGCAGCTGGATAAACTCAGTGCAGAATTTTCTTATGGGAGAAGCGTCTTATGGCTCCTGCTTTGATGAGGCAGATACTGTCAAACCTGAGATTCAGCTCCTTGAGCATGGTTGCATCATCATTGTTTTATAGACCGGCGTGGTGGTGTGAACAGGAAAGTGTGCAAGTACCTTGCTCTGGAGGCTGGAAAGGACTCTGTCCATGCTGTCCCACACCTGGAGGAAGAGAGTCTGCCTGATGTGGGAGATGTGTCTTCTATCCTTTCATCCTTCCAGAAGCAGTCAACTTCCTTTCCCAATTTTAAGGGTCCATTACCAGATCCTAACCAGCCTGCAAACACTAATCTTCTGGATATTAGCAAAATTGGACTCCCATTTGATCCTACAGGTGCAATTTCTTTGTTGCTTTGTAAAAAAAAAAAATCAGTAGAGAATAAATTGCTCTTTTGTGCCAGACATCATAACTCGTAATATGGGAGAGGTTAATGAGGGCTTGTTTCCATCAAAGGAAAAAAATGATTTATTAGATTCTGTCGGTGTCTGGACATAAGAAATTCTGTTTTGTAAGACTAACAATTTTCTTAGTCTGGCATTCTGTTTCCCACAATAACCAATCAGCAGCCGTTTGATGTTTGCAATCCTGATGTTCAGCCCAAGGTCTGGCATTCAGTACTTTACCCTGCCATGTGTCTCTAAACAAGTTGCTTCACTCTAATTACTAACAGGCAAGGAATATATCCTTTCCATATGTTTATATAAGCCATTACTGTCTATGTGGCATGGCAATGAATTCCAAATAATTATGAACTGGGCAGGAAAAAAATATTCTGCTAGTTTCCAATAAGTCACTTTAATAGGGAGGCTTCTTCACCCGCTGAAGTATTTTTAGACAGAACATGACATTAAGATGCAAATATTTTTGGTTGCTTGAAATAGATTTTCTCATTAAACCCATGGCATGCAGTAGTTTAGCAAAATCCTTGCTAATCTCTGCTAAATCCACTAGTCTGTTAAAAACAATCCACCCTGAATACTTTACATTTTTTATTTTCTAGAATTGTTTCATCTATATTAAATATTAACCCATGCATGCATACATGAGCATGTAATCCTTCCTTCCTTCGTGATTCAGGTCTGGTTTTTATCAATTTTCAGAAAGATATTCTTAACATAGGGAAAATGTTATTCTATTCCAATTTTGTTTACAATAAAACTTATTTTTTGTAACCCACAGAATATAAATCGGATTCTAAAGAGTTTAACTTTTTTCCCCCTCTATCCTTGAAACAGGCTGGAATTTTGATGGCGACCAGGAATGTAGGGATGAGAATACATTTTCTATGTATTCAGCACAAATGGCTTACAATAAACTGCATCAATATAGTGGGGGCCCTGGACACACATTGGTGAGGTAGGAATTGAATGCTGTATTTTCATATTTTGTAAAACTGAATTCCTAAATCGCTGTGGGTCTGTATTAGGCCATTTTTAAAATGTTTGTGGCTTTTTAAGACAGACAAGGACTTTTTGAAGTCAAGAAGCACGCCATCTCCGTTCTAAAGCAGATGAAACACAGGGCTTTTTAGACTTCCTATTACTGACCTCAGTTGCTCACTTATATTTGACCGTGTCTTACTGTGTTAATCTTATCAAATAACAAGTGTTATCAGATATGATTAATACAAGTTAGACCTCTTTACCTGCCTTCATTCAAAACAGAGGAAGTTTCCTTTGTAATAGGTGGTTTGAGGGGAATTTAAGATGGGGAGAATAAAATTGTAACTGAAAAAGCTTTGAGGATGGTGTTCAAATGGAACCTCTGTAAGCCAAAAGCAGCCATTAAAAGATTAATTACATCTTCTTCCCCCAAATAGGAAAAATCCTCTGTAGTCCTTTTTCTTGCCTCATATTGTCTCTTCATTGTCTTGATAGAAAATAATCTCAATTGTTTACAGGCAGGAGCTGGTGCACTATTATTCCTCTTGTGAAGAAGAGGATGAAGAAGAACCCCAATCCAGTCCTTGGCTGTCCATCCAGTCCCCTTTGAAGTTCTCCAGTAGTAAGTATTTGACTGAAAAGAGACAGCAAAGTTCAACAAAGGCGCTGCTGAAGGGTTGGTGGGGATCAAGGCATCAAGTTTAGTAAGAATGAAGCTCTATGAAATTCAGTATGCTTTAATGGTTAAGAGGCTTACTAAATATTACTGAGAGGTAGCAGTGCTGTTAATAGGTTTGCTTCTTATTACTTCATCTGCTTTTAAAATGAGTTCAGGTAGTCCTTGACTTAACAACCACTATTGGGATCAAAATTTCCATTGGTAAATAAGGCAGCTGTTAAGTAAATCTCCCCTGATTTTATGACCTTTGTTTTTTGCTATAATAAGCGAATCCCTGTAGGTCATACAGTCATTAAGCGAATCTGACTTCTCCCATTGACTTTGTCAGAAGCTAACTAGAAAAGTCACAAATGGCGATCATGTGACACTGGGATGCTGCAGCCGTTTGTAAGTGTCTGCCGTTTGCCAAGTGTCCAGATCTGATCATGTGACAGTGGGGATGCTGTAATGGTTGTTGAGGACTGGTTGAGAGTCGCTTTTTTCAGTGCCATTGCAACTTTGAACCTTGCTAAAGGAATGGTCGTAAGTCAAGGACATCCTGTATGTGGAAATACAGGTAGTCCTCAACTTAAAATAGTTCATTTAGTGACTGTTCGAAGCTACAACATCGTTGAAAAAAGTGGCTTATGACCATTTTTCACATTTATGACCGTTGCCACATCCCTGTGGTCACATGATTAAAATTCAGACACTTGGCAACTGACTCATACTTCTGACGGTTGCAATGTCCCAAGGTCCTGTTTTCAGACCTTCTGACAAGCAAAGTTAACGGGGAAGCCAGATTCACTTAACAAACAGGTTACTAACTTGTTTAACTGCAGAGGTCCACTTAACAACTATGGCAAAGAGGTCATAAGATGAGGCAAAAGTCACTCAACAAATGTCTCCCTTATAGCAACAGAAATTTTGGGAGGTCATAAGTTGAGGACTACCTGTAAATAATAGCCTGTAAATTTGACTCATTTGATATTGCAGTGGGAAATATGCAGCTATGTTCCCCTGGGATTGGAACCCAAAGCCACGGCTGTTCTGATTTGGGGCTGAGCCCTTCGCTTTTCTCTTCTCCTGCTCGGCTACTCCCCCCACATATTCTCCAAGGTGTTCAAGAGGAACTTTCTCCAGGTAAATTGACAGCAAGGAGGGAGGGAATCCTTAACCTGGATGAGATCAGTTTGATAGGCAGCCTTTTTTCAAAAGCTTATCATATTTCTTACCAAAAAGGATGGCGTTGTAACCATAGTCCCATTCCCTCCTGAGCTGATTTGTTCTCCTCTATGAGCAGAACAAGTGTATTTAGAAAGATTTCCTGGGGAAGTGGAATATTTTAAAACTGTCAACATTATTGGCCTGTTATGGACAACAATTTCTGTGGGAACTAAACATGGAGCACCCCAAGACTTTATGAATCACCGGAAGCAGGTATCTGCAATGTTGCAGTGTGATTCTTAAGGAAGAGTGTTACTCTCCAGTAAATGTGACATATGAACGAGATGAAAAGAGGGAAATGGAGAGCAAATGACAAAACTTGCTTTTCTTGAACCTTCTCTTGAAATGGGATGAGGGAAGCAGAGGACCTTTAAAACATTTTTCAAAGAACACTTCACTTCTTTGCAGTATTATTCGAAGATGTGTATTTGTCTCCTCAGTCCAGCAGTTTTTCTCATAATCCTGCTGGAACACTTTTGAGAAAGGTAAGGACTTTGTTACTCAGCTTCCTATATTACATTCTTTCTTCATCTTCTATTCATCTATTTCAGCTTTCAGAGTCTGAATTCTAGCTTTTCCCCACCTGTTGTTTTCCAGAAGCCTGAAACTATAAATTCCATCATGCAACATGATGTGTGGTTTCTGGTATATTTGCTAGATTTATATCTTTATTTGCTAAATTCATATCTAGATTCATTAAGAAAAGTCCAATCGCCATGACTCAATTTCCAGTGAATTTCTGCAGCTGAGATTGGATTTCTTGGGCTTACCGGCTGCTAGTCTGACACCTTAAATCTCCCCGTACTGGGTCGCTGTATTGTTGTTCCAGATATAAATAGCCAAGATTGAAAAAGGCAGCCTGGTGTGTCGTGTGTCCTTTTTACTTCTCTCCATCTGAGGTGGTTCTCATATACTTGTCCTTTGTAATTGATTGCAATATCAAAGGTTGACTCGGGAAAGTTAATGAATAACTGCAACACTGTTTCCTATTGTTAACTCACACAGGATATTTTTCAGTGGAGACTGGTTAACATACTTGGCTTGAGACTAATTGCATATATGGTATAATTGTCCAGTGAAAATTGTTTATGTTCTTATACAGTATGTGCACTTGCCTGAAAAGCAGTCTGAGAAGCCAAGAATGGCTTAATGATGGAGCAGAGGTTTTGCATTCAGAAGACCATCAATGCCCTTGTAACCTTCAGTTACAATGTAGGGTAGCTAATAATTCTCTGAAGACCTTGGTGAGCTTGGTCAGTTGCAGTTGATGGGATTGGATTATATCTGGAATATGCAGGTTTGTTTTAAGATAAAGGCCACCCTTGGCATCTGAGTTGTGTGCCACAGACACACTCTCAACAGAGTAAAGAAATGAGAAAACATAGGAGTAAATTATTCTAGAACAGGAAAGAAAAACTAAACACAGTTACCATGGCATTTCAGAAATAGTTTTTAGAGTGTCTTTGGGAGCTATGTGCTGTCTTAAGATCTACAATGTGTAATATCTTGGTCAATATGCAGTCTCTTCAGTGGTCAAACTCTTTGGCTCTTACTGCTTATTTATTTTTATTTTAATAGTCTTTCTAAGTTTCAGTAAGCAACTCTGAGAGTAAGACACTGTCCCAGTTGTTAACAACTCTGCAAATCATGCATCGTTAAACTGATCCAAACTAACTTCAGTTTAAATGATAAGGAAACAAGACTGAATGGTATTTTAGACAGGGTTGGTGACTGTTATATACATTCATGTAAAAACTTACATTTGAAGCCTAATATTCTTTTCTGTTCTTTCCTTCCCCCGCTTTCATTAATTCCATTTACAATGCCATCCCTCTGATTTCTTCCTTCTCTTGCAGTCAGCATTCACGCTGGATCACTGTTACCTTTCCTACAATGAAGCAGATAAAACCGAGTCCAGCCCCATGTCAAGAGTGAATGAAATAATAGCCTCGTGGAGTGAACAAATCAAAGAGGTGGGAAATGGGTTGTGAAGAATGGAACTGTTAATTTGTGAGCCAGAGAAATCAGGTCATGGAATCTTCTAATGTTCTTATTAAGGCCTACTCCTATATACTTTATATTTATCTGTCCAAAAGGTAGCCATTGTCACCTATATTCCTGTGGCTTTAAAACAGAACTGAAGAAATTAATTGACACCCTATTGATACCACAGCTGTAAATCAGTTGTATATTGGTTAAAGGATCAGAGGCAGCATCTTGAGCTTGAACAGCAGTGATTAGAAACAATAGATGTTGTAATTGTTCAATCTTTTGGTCACTTTTGACTCTTTATGACACAATGGACATGATGTTTATGTCATTTTTCTGTCTCACTAAAAGACATGTAGAATTCAGACAAGGTCAGCTTCCCCCCATTTATTTTAGTAAGAGTTTCACAAATCCTACCAACTTTTAATAAAACCTTAACCTAAATACCTACAGAAGAGACAATAGCTTGTCAAAAGGTCACCAAAGGTGATCATATGACCCTGGGACACTACGACTGTCATAAAATGAGTCAGTTGTCAAGCATCTGAATGTAAATCTCGTAACCATGGGAAAGCTGCAGTGGTCATAAGTGTGAAAAATGGTATAAGTCACTTTTTAAAGTGCCCTTATAACTTCAAATGGTCACTAAATGAACTGTTGTAAATCGAGGACTACCTGTATTATATCCTAATTTAATTAGGGATTAAGTGACTTGTCATGGAATTGCACAGCAAGGATCCAAAATAAAGTCAGAGACACTGACACAAACTTGTAGTTATATAGTTATATATTTTTATATATGTGTGTATGTGTGTGTGTGCAAGAGAGAAAATATTAAATATATATATTCTATATTATATTAATATAGAATATTATATTTAATTATAAAATTTAAATATTTCAATATTTTCTCTCACACACACACACATATAAAACTATATAACTACAATATATAGTTGTATATATATGTTAACATATTAATGTCAAATCTATTTATTTAACATATACATATATAAATGTTAAATAAATATATGTTAACATTTACAGCAGCCAAGATTACATCCTGAGGTAAATCCAAACAGCAATACAGAGCCCAGACAGAAGAAAAAAAGGCGGGAAAAAAGGGAACCTCCCCCTTTGGACCCCACAACCAATCACAGCGTAGATGGCCACCTGCAGGAGCCCACCCTCTCCAATCAATCAACTGGCCCATGGTTATGCTTTACTGTTCAGGCTAGTGAATTCCACATCCCAACATGGCTGAAGTTATGTTCATCCTAGATCAAGTTCTGTTTTATTATCCAGGCAATTATTGGATATCAGCTCCCATGTCCCTGGCCTCTTCTTGCCCCTTACAGTTTCAGGAGGCCCCCCCAGTGAGACCCGAAGGCCCAGCATCCCCCAGTGAGGAGGACAGCGACAGCACCTGGACCCCCTGCCAGAGGGCGAAGGCGCCGCAGGGACCCCAGCCGAAGAGGCAGAAGAAGCAGAAGCAGAAGAAGAAGAGGGCGGGCAGGAGAGCCCGGCGCCCACCGGCCAGCGGCGAGAAACGCACCCATGGCTCGCCTCCCCTGCCGCTGAAGAAGAAGTGCGTGAACGGCTTCATCATGTTTTGTCGCCTGAACCGCAAGCACTTCATCCGGTGAGGAAAAATGGGAAAGCAAATTGCTTTCAGGGAGACTAAACTGCAGCCAACTAAGGCAGTGGTTCTCAACCTGTGGGTTGGGACCCCTTTTGGGGTCGAACGACCATTTCACGGGGGTCGCCAAACAACGCAGTCCGCCATTTTTTTCCCCCTTTTCCTTAGCTGTGCTACTCCCTTTTATTCTATTGGCTTTTGAAAGCCAATAGAATAGACTCTCTTGAATAGAGTCTAATTCTATTGGCTTTCAAAAGCCAATAGGAATTGTCCAGACTGTCTCTGCCCTGCCGAGCCCACCAAAAGTCCCATTCTGCAAACGGTGCTGCACCAGTTGAGTAGTCCTCAACTTACGAACGGTTGCGTAGTCCTCGACTTACGACTGGTTGGGGGTCGCGGCATTAAAAAGGTTGAGAACCACTGAACTAAGGCATTTCCTACAATTAGCAGGCGTGCAGCATTTTATTTTCTCTCAATATAGAGGGAGTCCTCGACTTATGATCCCCAATGGAGCTCCACATTTGTGTTGCTGAGCGAGACACGGGTTAAGAGAGTTTTGCCCCATGTTATGACTTTCCTTGCCAGAATTGTTAAGTGAATCACTGCAGCTGTTAAGCTAGGAAAAATGGCTGTTAAGTGAATCTGGCTTCCCCATTGACGTGGCTTGTCAGAAGGTCGCAAAAGGGGATCGCATGACCTCGGGGACACGGCAACCGTCATAAATGTGAGTCAGTTGCCAAGCGTCTGAATTTGGATCACGTGACCCTGGGGATGCTGCAACGGTTGTTAAGTGTGAAAAATGGTCATAAAGTCACTTTTTTCAATGCTGTTGTGACTTCAAATGGTCACTAAGCAAACTGTTGTAAATCAAAGGCTACCCGTATATCTTCACTGCTAGAATAGACCTGTAATATCAATTATTGTCCCTTCTTCCTATTCTTATAGAGTTGAAGTTGGGGCTAACTTACTTACAGCCACAGTGAGCTCTTTGCTATGTTCAGATTTAACTAGGGACTTTTAAATTCAAGGCCAATATAGATTTGAAGTCTCGTAACTACTATATTGCTAACAGGAAGCATTTAGGGAAAGTTTACAAAAATGGACAAATAATTAAGGGAGCAAATCCTCAAAGACCAGGCTTTTTAGCAATAAAGCAACAACATATAATAAATATGTCAAAAAATACAAAAAAAATCACTACAATACACTTACCAAGGTCATTTAGGCACGAAGAAACTATTTGCAGAACATTTGGCCTGGGCTAGCAATAACATTTAGACTTTTATACCCACTTTATAGTGCTTTACAGCACTATCTAAGCTGTTTGTAAATAATTTGGGTTCTCATTTTACCGACCTCAGAAGGATAGAAGGCTGAGTCAACCTTGAGCCCTGTCAAGATTGAACTCCTGGCGGTCAAATTCCTGACTAGGATAATGCTCACTATAGAAACATTGTTTTCTTGAAACCTTTGGGGGATTTAGGGACTTTGACAATATCTTGGCTGCCTGCTTCTCGTGAGTTTGATCAAACAAATGTTTTCTCTTCATAGCACTTGCCCAGGGATGGCTTCCACTGCAGCTACAAGGGAACTGGCCCAGCTGTGGCGTATGATGACAAAGCAGGAGCGGAAGCCATATTGGTATGTTTTGTTTTGGGCAACAGTGAATAATGGGATCAGGTAATTCTCTGGAGAATCAGTTGGCCATGTTGTGGAACTGGGGTGTCCAATCTTGGCAAGGCGTGTAGACTTCCACAGTATATCACTACATTTGTTAAATGACTCATGTACAAGTAATCCTCGACTTACAACATTCCAGTTGCCAAGCACCCAAATTTTGATTATATGACCATGGAAATGCTGCGGCAGTTCATGTGAGGACCGGTGATAATTCAATTTTTCCCCCAATGCTGTTGTAACTTTGAATGGTCATTAAATATATGGTTGTAAGTTGAGGACTACTTGTACAGTGTGACTAGACAGATAATTCCAACAGGAAACCTCTTGTTAGGTTCTAAACTTTCTTTTTATGCTCATTCCCTTTCTCACAGCATGAAAGCTCGCCGATTCAGCCGCCTCAACAACCGAATTGTGAGAGACGACTTCTCCAGTGGTGATGAAGAACCAGAGCCGCCCAAACCCTTCCATCTGCTGCTTGCTGAGAAATCCATTCCCAGCATCCAGACAGTGGGCAACACCTCTTTGTTAGGCTGTATTCCATGATTCTCCCCCCCCCCCCGGGATGGTAATGTATATCTGTTCAGTGGGGTCCAGAGTCCTCTCTCTGCTGATGAAATTGGAACTTCCCTACCCATGGTTCTGCAATAGAGTGTGTGCCTATCCATTTTTAGCAAAGCATCAAGCAATAGGAGCTTTACTGGTCTTGTTGACAGAGGGAATGTAGGGCAATAGAGAAGCAACAAGGAAGGAGATCATTTTAACCCGATGTCTCCCCAAGACATCAGCTTTCCCCATCTATTTTCCTTGTTTAGCCTTAAGTCGTATTCTACCACCAATGTTTCATCTGACGTTATGTGTTTGGGTTTCCTGATCAGAATGAAAACATAGGTAGATGGGCTTCCCCCCCCCCCCCAGATTTCCAGATGTTCCAGTTACTACTATATAGGCTGTTCTACCTGTGTCCAAAGTTGATCTCTAGTGGTCTTGAACAAAGCAGGATCAACTGCAGGAAGAAAACAGCAAGAGTAAAAGGAATCTGTAGCTCTAGATGACAGGAAAACATGCCAAGTTTAAGATTTTATATTAAGTTTTATCCTTGATCTAAAAGCACAAAACCATTTGAAAGGATCTATTTTAAAAAATAATTCTAATGAACTGGAGACAAAAAACTAAGATTTATATATATTGTCTAAGCTTTTATCTGATCTTCCTCTCCTACAGCTTTGTGCCATAGATGTTCTTAAAGCTACCCCTTAGTTACCAGCAATTTAGTTCCATATTTGGCAAGTACAAATGGAATTTTTGAGGTCCATATACACTTGCTTTTTTCACACCAAGTTTGAAGCTTTATTATATAGTATTATTATATAGGTCTCTAGGTGTTTTAAACTTTTAACTGAGGCAAGTCCATTTCATAGCTTGCTCTGGATGGCATTGAGTTTCCACTGACCTTTTTAGGTGGGCCAGTACTTCAAAATCCCAAGGAAGGAATAATTCTGTAGATTTGCTTTTGTTCAAGGAGAGTTAGGAAGTTTTAAAGAGACTAAACTGGTTCTGAGCTAAGGAGGGTTAATGCTTCATATTGAGAAGGGAGAATTTTGTCTGCAGGAAGAGCTTAAATCAAGCTCTTATATTTTTGGTTGGTCTGGAATTTGTTTCAGCAGAATGCTGAGTCATCCCTTTATTCTTTTTGATTGTGTCCTCTATGCACAGATCAGTTTCTGTTTGAAATGCTGTTTTAAACTTCAATGGATTTTTCCATTGTTTTTACCTATTTATATATTTATTGGTAGTTCCCCCCCCCAAACTCTATTTATAATTAAAATAAAATACCGCAGTAAAATTAACTGATTGGGTGCCTCTGTGTCTCTTCTCTGATCTGAGCTGGGTGATTGTGAAAGTGAAAGGCAACAGGGAGCATTGTCTGAAGACATTTTCCCTGGTCATGTGGCCAGCATGGGTATACACCAAAGGTGCACGGAACGCTGTTACCTTCCCACCAAAGTGGTACCTATTAATCTACTTGCATTTGTATGCTTTCAAACTGCTAAGTGGGCAGGAGTTGGGGCAAGGCATGGTATCTCACCCTATCATGCAGAACACAGGCTGTCAGTTCTCCAGCTCACAAGCTCAGCGTCTTTAACCACTGAGCCATCCCGGTTTATAAAGTACAGCAATATTATTAATACCGTATCCCCATTCTGCAAATGTAGATCTGGACCTGAGAGACTGATGATGATTTTTAAGAAGAGACTGGACAGCCATTTGTCCGAAATGGTGTAGGGTTTCCTGCCCGAGCAGGGGGTTGGACTAGATGACCTCCAAGGTCCCTTCCAACTTTACTACTGTTATTATTATTATTACTTCACGAGTTTGACATAGAAATAATATTTGCCCTAGAGATTTCTAAGCCCATGGTGCGGTCTTGTGCATGCCTATTTAAAAATAAATCCCAATCAGTTAGGACATATCCTCAAATAGAAAATTGCAGCCTCTGCCACTAATTCCAGAAATTACCACAGAATATCCTTGTACCTTGTAACATTTTTCTTTGGAGCCATGACAGGTCGGTAAAGAGGCAAGACAGACTGACAACCACACAAAAATTTGTGCAAGAAGGAAACAAGTGGACAGTAGGTTTTTTTAACCTGGACACAAACCAAGAGTTAGTGAATCTGGCCCAAGATAAACTTGTTTTTCAATCTTACATTTATTTAAAAAAAAATGGCAGAAAAATGTGATTTGGCTTTGATGAACTACTTGCATACCATTGGATTCCATTCAAGCAATCCGTCCCAAAAGGCCTAAATACCCATCCCACACCTTTCAAGAAGGATATTCCAGGGTTATCCCAATCCTATGAACTCTTGCTGAATCTCTGCAAAAAGAACCACCAGCAGAGGATCAGTCGCAGGCTGTTTCTGTCTCCTTCCTTTCCAGGTTCCATTCGAAAACCCCTCAAATACGGTTCTCTATTCAAGTCATTAAGGTTCTTGGCACTGTGGCAAGATACGCAAATTGCATCTGTTCTCTCTAGGGGACAAGTGTTTGTATGTGCTCAGCTGTCCAGGCCTAAGTCCTAATTAACCTTAATTGGATGCTGTCTACTTTAAACAGATGTTCCTGCTGCAGACACCCATCCTCACCTTAAACTCCTGATTCTGTGCTGTTGGTTACTCATCTGCTCTTTACATTTGATTGGTTCTATAGCTGTTTTTGCAGCTAAGTGACTTTCCTGTTGTTATTTTAGGGTGCAGAGAGTGGAAAAATCAAGAATTTGGGCATTCAGGGAACGTGCAGATAGAGGACATTTCAGATCAGATGGCTTCAAGCTTTTCTCACAATTAGAAAAACACAAGACATTTTCCATCCCGTGGAGCGTGGTTAGTTTTTTCCTCAGCATCAAATGTGATGATTCAATATGGTTGTAGCAGTTTCCCCTCTTACAAAGAGACACAATGTGATGATCCTTTCAATTGGAAATGGGAATACTTACATATTGGGGGGGGGGGCTAGAACAAAGAAGCAATCCACTGAGAATGTGGCAGTGTCTTTTTCTATTGTTTCAGGACCCCAGATTTACCAGAGTGGAAGTGAGGGACCCCAGGAGGCCATTGTGGAGAGGCTGGTTCTGCAGGTAATCCACCCGTTGGGCATTGTGAAGAGAGGATCCCTTGGGAACTGAAAGCTGCAAGGCAGGATAGAGCAGTGAGGGGCTGTCAATGAGGGAGCTTTCGTCCTCAGAGCTGGGGATCACGTGTCTGTCTCGGGGCAGGCCCTGTCCTTCCTTCAGAAGGCCACCCTCGCCATTCTCCCTGCAGCCAAAAAGAAAAAGACAATGCCTAAGTCCGCATGATTCCGAAATTCTATTGCCAAGATGCCAACTAAATCAGTTGGTCTTAAAGTAATCTAATCAGTTGCACGTGTTAAATAAATATTTCAGCCTTCTCTGGTCTGGGATATTTCAGGCGTGACTGCAGCACATTGTCAGAAAAATCAAGAGGGTGACCATAATGGGGTGATTAAAGCCCCTCCTGTTTTTTATCTGTAGTTTGATCAATTAGATTTTTATTCCATCTTTACTACTTTAGAATTAACTCGAGGCAGCAAATATCATACTACTCTTTCTTTCTCCTATTTTATCTGTGTTTTACATAAAAACTAGGCAAAGCTTCAGCTGATCAGTCACTGCCACCTTCTTGACTTTGGGGACTGTACAGTACTTTGCGGACATTTTTTTAAAAATTCATTGATTAGTCATAACGTATAGTTAAATCCACACTTCTTAAAACGGCCGGAGTTGAGAAATGCTGACTTAGTGGCAGAAGCAGCGGGATGGAAGATGGAATAGCAAGGGAAATATTTACGTCTGCTTCCCGTTCAGCTGAGATTCCCTCAACCCTTCTGTTCTACACCTGCTCATGCCTCGGTCCTCATTTCCTGGCTCACCCTAGCCACTATCTGCATGTCTAGCCCCACGACCATTTTCTTGCCCTTGGCCCCAGGCCATTTTCTGTAGGCTGCTGCTGAATTTTAATTTTTTTAAAACTTAATATTGTAAGCTGCCCAGAGTTACTCTGTGGCAAAATGGGCAGCTAACCAACTTTACAAATCAATAAATAAATTCAGAATAGCCGCCTTGAATTCTCTGCTGGCAGAGAAGCCCCCTCACCTCTCTTTGGTCTCTGCTGCACGGTCTCTCTGGCGCCGATTCTTGAACCAATTGCTGACTTGAGTTGTGGTCAGCCCAGTAGCTTCTGCCAGCTCTCTTTTCTCACGAGGGGATGGGTAGGGATTGTGGATATACCATTCCCGTAACACACTCCGGGATTTTTCCTGTAGGAGAGCGGAAAGTCATTGAACTTAGCATGACAGGTAATCTGCAACTTACAGACGTTTAACAGTTCAAAGTTACGACGGCCTCAGAAAAAGTGACTTACAATCCGTCCTCAAAGATACCACCCCCTTTCACGTGATTGCAATTCAAAAGGTTGGCAACTGGATCACATTTATGATGGTTGCAATATCTTGCAGTTGTGTAATTATGATTTGTGACTCTACATGCTGGCTTCCCAAAAGCAAAGTCAATGGGGGAGCTAGCTTTGCTTAACAACAGCAGTAAAATTGGTCATAAAATTGGGTCTGGTCACCTAGTGACTTGCTTAACAGCGACATCATGTAGCTACTGAAATTCTTGTCCCAGTTGTAATCATAAATTAAGGATTCTCAATAATCAGACCAAAATTTTAAAAGCAAAAATTTCCTCTCTGCACTAATTGTAATACTGCAAGGCCCCATCAAATCCTCACTTAAATCCCCCCCCCCCCAAAAAAAAACAGAGATTCTAAATTCTTTAACCTTCCCAGACAGAAATAGTACTTCAGGCTTTTTTTTAGCATTTTTATTGTTAATTTCTAAACATTTTCCAGCTGGGGCAACCAAATCTTTATTTGCTATAAATGCATTTAGTGGTCTTTAGCTTCTTTTTGCAGGAATCCAGAATCAGTAACCTAACTGCGGTTTTCTTACGATTCCAAAATTTTTTTTTTATTTTTTTATTTTAACTGCTGCAAGTAACTTTGTCCTCTTTTGCAGTTAGACCAACTTCAAAAGCACACAGTATTGTTTTAAGTGTATATATTTCAAGGTCAGGTTAAATGTTAGAATGTAACCCATAGGGGGCAATGTCATTGTTCTTTGATCTTGGTTGTCTTCCAAAAATAAGCAGTCAATCACCATCCCCTTCTTTTATTTTTAATCAAGGGCGAAATTTTTGCAAAGCCTGAAGGCTTGGGCCGTTTCTGTAATTTAATGGTGAAGGAAAATCTTGCTTCACTGTAATAACAGAGCTAGGGCATATATTATCTCTTGCCTGCCAAAGGCTGCATAAAATATATGTGTTTTGAAACTTTTCCAGAATATTCTTGGAGATGCAGGATTATGGCCTTCCTCAGATGATTATTTCAGAATGTTTCTGGAGGAATTCAGAGGAAGTAGGAAATGGCATGAAAGACCAAAGCAGGCAAGAGACCCCCTGCCCAATAACCTCCCAGACTAAATGTTGCAGTAAATAAGATGAACAGAGGCAAAGGTAACAGGGAATGAATGGCAGGAAATCTTGCATTGTGTATTTTCAGTAGACTTTTAAAGATGTAGGCAAGACATTAAAAAGTTTTGAGCACTGATGTAGGGTGAGATTTCTGAACCTTACACAACCCCTGAAAGTCTGGGGTCTAACATTCAGGGCACCTTTAAAACAGGCTACAAATTTTTCCTTTTTTTCCATGACAAAAAAAAAGGAAAGTGTAAACCCAAGGGAGAGATCCTGTAAAGATCTTTAATTATTTAACAAATTAAATTAACGACAATTAAGTCAGGCAAAATTTTAATCTTCACCCAAGAAACATTTCTGTCTTCTCCCCTTTCTAGTTTCTGAAATAGAATCCCAGTTTCCAAAGACCGAAGGCAGCGCTCAGCCTGAAAAGGTTTTATGTACCAATGGTTAAAAGTACATTTCAAAGGGCAGGTTTCTTGTATCAAACCAGCATTATGGCAAGACTAGTGGGAAAAAGAGTAAGATGGAAGGGTTGAAAAAAACAAAACCAAAGAGATGGGAGTCAGCATGAGAGATTTTTTAGCAGGAGAAGAAAGTAGGAGTGTATTTATTTATTTATTTATTTATTTTATTTTATTTATATGCCGCCCAATCCCAAAGGACTCAGGGCGGCGTACAGAGTAGGTAGGTCCATGAAAGAGGAAACAGAGGCAATGCAGAGCTTAAAAATTAAAATAAAATATCCTAATGGCAATTAGGTAAAAGCTATTCCACTGGAAATAAATTGACCCCAGAGTTGAGTGTGATAGAAATACAGAAGGATAATTAGAAGAACATAGTAGATTTAGGCAAGAGATGACCTTTCTGGAGCGTCAGGTGTTTTATCCCAAATATAAACTTTTCAAAGAACTATCGATGGTTTTTGTGCTTGAAAAATTGAAATGTCTGGATGTTGGAAACAGAGTTTTCTTTGATAGGAGTGGGATATCCACAAGAGTTGAGAAATACCACTGGACAAAACACAATGCCACGAAGACCTACCTTGAAACAGTAACTGGTTTCCTCCCCGTCCCAGATGGTCCGAGGCAAAGGGAATTTGCGACGCACCCGGTATTTTCCAACAGCTCCCAGCGGCCTTCCGCGTAACTTCTCCGCTTCGGTGTAGTGAGCCTTGAGCCAAAGTTGCTGAAGTTTGGGGTGATTGTGCGGTGAGAACTGATAGCCCTCTAAGATCTTGTAGAGCTCTCGAAAATTGCCCCGGTGGAAGGCCACCACCGCTTTGGCCTTTAGGACACTCTCATTCTTGTGCAGGTGGTCACAAGCTGGCAGGGACCAGAGGAAGCGTCCTAAGCGCTCGATGTTGCCCCCTTGTTGTAAGACTTCACACACGCAAGCTACTTGCTCTTGCGTGAAGCCAAAATTCATGGTTAAGTGGGAAATAGCGTGCTCTTTCCCACAGGACCTCAAGTGGAGGCTCCAAAACTTTGTGGCTGTCAAAGGCACTTTATGGCGGTCCACCAAGGCCACCCAACATCTACCTTGTAGAAGACCCTGCTGTCCTTGACACAAAGAAGGGAAGGTGGTCCTCTGTGGTTGGATGACCACGTCAGCTCTGCCTCACTAAGACAAGAGAGTCCAAGGGAAGTGGAAGGCCACGCTGGTGCCTTCCACGTTCCTCCCTTTGGTGGCCATGTCTCTTCTCCTTTCTCCAGGTCTCAGTACACTCAGGACTCTTTTCTCTGTCTTCTGGCTCTAGAGACAGTTGCCCAGGGTAGATGTCTTGGGGGGTATCGGTTACAGGCCCAGCCCACACAGGCTGCAGCTGTGGCCAGCCATTGGCCAACTCCGCAAGAAGAGCGAGAGAGACTTTTACCACGTCACCCTGGGATGGTAAACCTTTCAGTGGAGGAGGTTGTGGGGGGTATGGAAATGTGAGATGCCCCCTACAGAGGGGGGAGCAGGAGACCCACAGAAAAGGAAAGACCTGGCAGATCTGCTCAGAGATCAGCCCGTTTATCCAAAATCAGAGCTTTTTTTGGTTTGCCCCTTATTGCCCCTTATCCAGTGTGGTTATCGTTGATTATTGTTAAGTGACAAAGAGCTAAATAGGACACAGATGCTTCTATAGCCACTGCTCAACTACGGTCCCTAAACTCTGAAAATGTTATCAAATGTAACCCATCTTCCAGGTCATCTTATCCCTTTCAAGGATTTTGCACCTCTTCGGAAAAAAGGGAAAACTCAGAAGGACAATAAGAGCGAAGTTCCTCTTTTCAGAACAAACAGGTGTGGGCAAGCTGCGGTTGCTGGTTCATCTTCCTCTTTCTGAGCAAAACAAGTGGAAGTTTTGATGGGGTGGTGAGGATCCCTGACAGGGGCTTTTGTCTCCCTTTGTTCCTGGCCTCGCCAGGTAGTGACAGTGCAAGCAAAGAGCAAGGTTGCTGCCTCTGCCGTTTCCTGCTCTTCCCATGAAGGGATCATGTTTCGGACTCAGCAGGCAGCTATTCGCAAGACAAACAACCTGTTGCAACTTGCAAAAAAAACAAGAGGCTTTTTGCAGCTGCAGGCGAAAGCAACATCCATTTCCAGCAAGGGATGGCTGGGAGGCAAGGCTTATTTGATTCGTTGGTTCATGGCGGGAACTGTGCAAGATCTCAAATCTCCGCATGGGGGAATCCTCCTCTCCCTTGCTGTGGCTTATGGGCTGTCATTGCTCCATGCTCGGTTGGCACCCCGAGCCTCCATTGTTGGACTGCTTTCCCCTTCCTTATTCAACAAACAGAAGCAACATTGCTTGAACAGTTAATTGCAACTTTGTTTCTCTCTCATTTCCAGCACACAGAAGCTAATCATTTTGAAAGATCGTTAAGATGGCTGGGGCATCCGCAGCAGGTGGATCAAAATTTCAAAAGAGAGTAGCCATGGCAGTATGATGAGGCTTGATTTTTTTGGACCATGCCTTGCAGACACACTTTCCAGTAGCTGTTTCTGGAACATTCCTCAAGCAGGAAGAATGAATTGCCTTAGAGTGAGGTACCCCTTGAAAAATGAGGAATCATGAAATTTTGCAACCTGTGCATTTTTGGGTGGGTGGGTGGCTCTGGTTGGCACGCATTTTGGCTTGTCGTCTGCTTTTGTACGACTGCTGAGACTAATTGGCAAGAAACCACCTTAAATGTGACATTTGCAGTTTTAAGGATTAGAAAAATTGGTGCCTTCTAAATTCTGTTTTTTTTATTAAAAAGTTTTATAAAAATTACAATATAACCCACCCAACCCCCCCCTCTCCCTCCCAACTTCCCAGAGCTGAGTACAGGGTTACAAATATGATAATCATAATCTAACTAACATTAACCAACTATATAAATAACCAAGTCCATAATGCACTTTAACTCCCCTTTAACATAAACAAATTGAAAATAAACATAATATAAATTCTGTTGTTTTTTTTAAAGCAGCAGATTTCATTTTAATTAGGCTGCCTTAAACAGCTGAAGGCAAGTTAGGATATTCATCTAATCTAATGGAATGTTTCTCAACCTTGTCAACTTTTAAATGTGTGGACTTCGACTCCCAGAATTCCCCAGCCAGCATACTATTGAAATTCAGTATATATTACATTCAATATTCATCGAATATAGCTTTTCTCAGCTTTCAGAGGCATGGACCAACTCCCAGAATTCCTTGCTGGCTGGGGAATTCTGGGAGTTGAAGTCCACAAATCTAAAAGTTGAGAATATTGAATATAATATATACTGAATATGCTATATATTCCATATATGTATTGGATATAGACGAGTGTGAAGTTGACAGGATTGAAAAACACTGATTTAATGAATGAATCAATAACCTTACATACATAAACCTGAGACTGGTTTTGTTCTGTTGCTTCATGTTGCTATTCTTTTGATCTAATTTTCATCCCTATAAGCTATTCTCCTTCCTGCATTTTTCATACCAGTACAAGATTTAATCTCTACAAAGGGTTAACTTCACCTGAGATTCGGTCTGGATCCCCTCCCATGCTTTATCTTCCAATTCAAGGTTCAGAAAAGCTCCCCCTGGCTCCCACCCAAGTGGGTATTACTTACACAGCCATCTGCGTAACACAATCCAACCTGGATCACCTTACTTCTTCCCAGCAACTCAACTCTCAGGGGGAAGGACCGGCTTTGTTCTGGGGTTGAAGTCGCCCCAGGTTCACAAGCCCATTTTCCACAGGAAGCTCCTAGCTTGCTCCCCATGCACTGGAATGAGCATCTGTCCAAATCTTTTATGATTTACAGGAGGCATAGGGGCCCATGGTGATCGAAAAAGGCAAGATGGTGACCCTGAACGTACGTACACACTAGTAACTGTAGAACCTGTGTCAAAAGTGGCTCTAGCTATCACAGATTTCAACATCCATTAGTCCCAGCCAGCCAGAGCAATGCTAAGGGAATGTGGGCTTTGTCGTCTCAGCAGTCTAGACGGCCAAGTGACAACCCGGTGCAAACTTGAAAATGTGCAAATTTGAAAATGTGGTTTAAACACTGAGAACTTAACAGCCCTCAGCTATGGAAACAAACGGTTTCATAAACCAGTGTACAATCCCAATTCTCCATAGAATGAACACAGGCACAGACATGGTTTTAGGATAAAATATATATTTATATATATAAAATATATATAAAAGACACAAAAAGACGTAAAAAACAAAGGATATAAAAATATCTTATAGAAATGATTGCTTCTCACAAACGGTGGGAACAGATGTGTTTCTTTAGTACCTGACGGGAAAGAAGGCAGGTTTAGAGAAATTCAGAGAAATTACAATGCTATATTTGCATACACCAAGGTGGTCTTCTTGTTGGAAAACCATTGCTTTGCCGTACTGATGGAATTTCTCTCAATAGAGTGAATTGTAAAGCCCCCCCACCTTGCAACACACTATGTCTCAACTGGTAACTCCATCCAAAGATGGTTTTTGAACTGAGTGTTACCTCCACTTGCTGAAAACCTTTATGGAGTCACTCGAGTGATATGTTTTTGTCCTGGAGAACTGGAACTAATTGCAATACAGATAGCCCTCAACCTAGGACCACAAATGAGCCCAAAATTTCTGTTGCTAAGCAAAACATTTGTTAAGTGAGTTTTGCCCCATTTTATGACCTTTCTTGCCACAGTTGTTAAGTGAATCACTGCAGTTATTAAGTCAGTAACCTGGTTGTTAAGTGAATCTGGCTTCCCCATTGACTTTGCTTGCCAGAAGGTTGCAAAAGAGGATCACTTGACCCTGAGACTCTGCAACTATCATTGAGTCAGTTGCCAAGTGTCCGAATTTGGATCACGTGACCTTGGGGAGGCTGCAAGGGTTGTATGAAAAAGGGTCATAAGCCCCTTTTTCCAGTGCCATTGTAACTTTGAATGGTCACTAAATGAACTGTTGTAAATTGAGGACTACCTGTATTTCTTAGCTTGAGAGTTAATGGACAAATATGTTACGTGTAGTCTTGACTTACGACTGGCCAGTTAGTGACTATTCAAAGTTAGAAAAAAACTACTTTGGGGTTACTTGTGATCCAGATTCAAAGTTCTGGCAGTCATCCCCCCCCTGCAGTCATGTGATCAGACCTCAGGCCCTCAGGAACACAGCGGTTTGCAGCATCCTGTGGTCACATGACTGCATTTTACAACGATTTTGCCCAAAATTGGCACTTACTTCCAGTTTTCAGCAAAACCTAGCAAAGTGGTTTGCTTAGTGACCCCCAGAAAAAAGATTGTATATAATCGGGTCCATTATATAATGGATCTGTTTTGACTGTCACAACTGATGACCACGATGGCAAAGCTCCATTACGGTCATAAGTTGAGGACTACCCGTCTTTGAAAAAAAATCAGGTCTGTCCTAGTCAGAACCTGAAACGGATAAGTGTGTAAAATATACATTTCAAAGTACTGTAGAGCCGTTCTGCAACTGGAACTGGCAATCCAGCCCCAAGTCAAGGTACCCATGTGATTGGAAATGATTTTATTATCTTTTTGCCAGAGGTCATTAAGCGAACATGATGGTCCTAAGTGTGAATCCATTCATTTGAATGGGGTTTTTTTGCCAGAAAACTGTTAAAAAATGTCACAAATTGTGGCCAACCAGTTGCCAACATGTGGTCACACCACAGAGGAGGGCATTTACAATGGCCAATGGTTGCTTTACAGGCCATAAAGTAACTGTTCCTTAGTCACTGTAAATGTGAATTGTCATGAAGCAACTGGTCATAACTCAAGGACTATTTGTAGAGATCTGGGCTATCTTATCTAGTTTAATTCTGTTCATATTGGCTAAAGACAACTCTCCAGGTTTCCCTTCTGTTTCAGCTAGAAAAACCAAGATTTCCATCTGCAGTTTTTCTCTGCAGAAATCATCTTTAGAACAAAATATTTTTGCTTACATGGAACATATTTTAATGCTTAAAAAAGCATTAATATTTCTGAAGGACATGTAAACAGGTAGCCTATTAGGAATGTTTAATGCAAGATTATTCTATTATGGCATTGTTTTTCAACCTTGGCTACTTTTAAGATGTATGGACGTCAACTCCCAGGATTCCCCAGCCAGAGTTCTAAGAGTTGAAGTCTACGTCTTAAAAGAGCCAAGGTTGAAAAACATTGCATTAAGGCTTGACTTTCTCCACTCTGTATGTGGCATCTTCAATTTATAGTAAATTCCAACTTCATTTTATAACTGGGATAGCTTTGGTTCTTAAAATCCATTCTCACATGTCGGTCAACATCTTCAAATTTCCCAAAGGCTGTATGAATGTAGTGTGAATAAAATGGTACTTAGTTTCCTTATATCCACATGATAGAAACTCAAACATACAGGCAGCAGAATTGCATCTAATTTACACAAAGTATGGGGAATTGTGTTTTTAGAAGGCCTATCTTCTAGAAATAGATTTTATGCATATTTTGTTTCAGCCCTGGTTTTAGGATTTCAGCCTGTTCAAAGAGAAGCAATCCATTTTGGGATCCTTGGAGAGGAACTGTTTTGCAATAATGCAGATTTCCATCTCTCAGACCGTTCCGTCCATACCATGTGAAAGTAACTATGGTGGACAGCTGCCTCTGGCTCTCAGTCCAAAAATACAGAGATGTTCTAGAGTAACTCAAGATCATTGTGGCTTAAAAAGCTTGTTCTGTATGTAAAATCTAGGTACCATTTAACTGTAGGGCTGACCTGTGCAGAATCCACACCATTTTTGCATTGTCCATGGATAGGATTGTCATGGTTAGCCCAATGCTTTTGTAGTCCTCTTATCTTCAGATTCAAAACATTCGTTCCACCAACAAGGCACATGTGCAGATAGATAGATTGGAGAGACACCCCAGCTGGCCTTTTCTGTTCTGGAGGACTACATCTATTACGGAACAGGGTTATTCGAACTAAGATTGCACGCTCATCACCCAGAACGGCCTTCTCCAACTGATCCATCGGGACGCTCCAGGTGTGCTCGGTTTCTTCCCCATCGTTCTCTCCACACTTCCAGAGGTGACGTTTCTGAAGGATGACAGGCTGTCCCCAACGGCACCGAAAAAACCCCGAGAATGAAAGCATGGAAACTGGGTAATTTTCCTGCCTCTTCAAAGGGGGATTTGGGATCATCCCTAGCACCATGGACGAGAGAAGAGGAAATATTACTTTATATTATAAATTTTCCTCGGATCAAGTGGGATATTTCCAGCTTCCAGCTGTAGTGTGACTTTGAAAACAGAGAGGAGTATCTACTAGAAAGGGAAGTTCAAAGAAGACCTTCACCATGAAGAATGGAAACAGCTCTTCCTTTTCCATATGAAGCATAAGTAGTCCTCAACGTACGGCCACAATTGTGATTGGAATTTCAACTGTTGAGTTGTTGCGGTCATAAATCAAGGCACCACGTGACTGGACTTGATTTTTAAGACCATTTTTACAACTGTCGTAAAGTGAGTCACCACAGTGGTTAAATGAAACACACGGTCGTTAAGCAAATCCATTCTTCTGAATGGACATTTGAAAACAATACGGAAACTGGCAAAAACGTAGCAAATTGCACTCACAAGACCGCCGGACACCGCAACCAGTTGTAAATGTGAGTCAGTTGTGAAGTGCCCGAAATGCAATCACATGACTCCAAGGAAGGGGGAACGCCTTGGTCATAACTTTGAGGAGAGATCATAACTAGCTTTTCAAAAGTCCATCGTAACTTTCCATGGTCTTTAAACGACCGGTTGTAAGTTGAGGACTCCCTGTACTGTAGTGTTTGCTCTTCTGACAACCACAAAGAGATGCCTGGGTTGGCCGCACCAGCAGCGGTTTGCCATGGTCAGCATGAAGGGCCGTGCGGTGAACTCCTGTAGTGTGACACTATTCCTGTGCAAAGATGGGACCGCAAGCGCCTTCTCTGATCAAGGCACTTTGAGTACTCGCAAACTCAGTTACTCTGGGAGGGATCAGGAGGTCGGCATTCTCAGTTTGAAGAAGGTTGTCCAGCTCTCCAAGTCTCACAGGTCCAGAGGCTCTTCCACTGGGACCGACTGCAGCTGAGTCAGCACTTTCTCATCCGAGTCCAGAGCTTCGGGACCCAGGGCATCCCCCTCAGCAGCATCCAGCAGAAGACCCTCGCCTTCAGGCAACCGGAGCTCCTCCATTGACCCCTTCTCCATCTCAAACAGCCCCTCAGAGTTGTTCCCCTGCAGGTCCAGGCTCACCGGGCTGGACCATACCACCTGCGGCTGGGACACGGACAGGGTCTCTGGCTGGGAAAAGCTGGAAAGAAGGGAGCCTGGGCTGATGTCTGGTCCAAAGGCCACGCTGGCTGGCCCAGTGCTGTTGGAGGACGAAAGAGGGGAGACTTCGGAGGGCAACACTGAGGGGACTCCGGGAAGCAACCCACCATTGCCTTCAGAGGCCCCCACAGCTACCGGTGTGGCCACCGCCATCTCCTGCTTGATGGGAAGAGTCAAGGTTGAGGCTGCCGGAGCGGAGAGGACAAGGGTCATCAGCATGCTAGCTGGGAAGGTGGCAGTGAGGTTAAGTTTGCCTTGCTGAACGGCCATGCCGGTGACGATGGTGCTATTGCCGGTGGTTGGGTTGGCCAGGATAAGGTTACCTGGAGCAGAAAGACAACAGAGGATCCACGTTAAACAAGACCCCTAAGCATTCTGGTTCCCCATCACTCAACCTCGGTGTCTGCCTCCTCTCCAGATTTAGGAGATGGCCTTGGGAAGGAAGGAGAACTGGTCAAGGGAGGAGAAACGGCACCTTAGTCCCGAGAAAGTAGAACGCGCAACAGAGGAATTCACAATAACCCCACCTAGGTTTTTGTCCGTGATGACCAGCGAAGAATTCTTGAGAGGTCCAGAAATCCATGATTCCTGGAACGTGTGTGTGTGTGTGTGCACGCTAATCCTGAGCTACAAATATTCTCCTCTATTGGTACAGGGACCACAATTCCTAGAACAGGAACCCTCTTCCAAATTCTGGACTGTGCACTTTTGGTTTCCTGGAGAGCATCTCGCCTTCCTATAATGTTAGGAGGTCCTTAATTACGGCTGGACAAGGCTCAGCCACCTCTGAAGCCGGGGTAGATAGATACCTTGTGCTGGGCTTGGAAGCTGCAGGGCTGTGACGCCGACACCGGTGTTGAGAAGATGGACGTTGTTCGGGCCAAGGCCTCCAGTGGCCCCTGGGCCTTGTGGGGTCCCAGCCACAGGACCCACCTTGATGGGGGCGGCACTTGTCAGGATCTGGATGGGACTGCCCATGCCCTGTTGCAGAGTCACCACCTGAGAGGTGGGCACCACTTGGGGCAAGGAGATGAGCTGGGAGCCCTGGGCCACTTGAGGAATGGAGACCAGTTGAGGTGGTGGAGCCCCATGGGACATGGTGTAGATCTGGGTGGGAGACACAGGGACCATCTGAGGTGGGGACAACAGCTGGGCCCCGGGAACCGTCTGGGACAGAGGGACCACCTGGGAAGGGGGTGATACCTGGGTGAGTGGGAGAAGGGATGGGGCAGAAACGTGGAGGACGGTGGCCTGGGTTGTAGAGGACCCAGGGAGAGAGAGGAGGGGGGTGGCGGTGATGGCAGGAGATGCCACCACTGTGGACCCCTGCCCGGTGCCTACGGGCCCTGTTCCTTGGGAAGCGGGCAGAGCTTGACCGACAGGGACCAGTTTGGCAAGAGGCACAATCTGTGGACTTTGGGGCGCTGCCGGTTGAGGGGCTACGGACAACAGGGGGACCGTGGGACTTTCTTCATTCGAAGGGACCACTTGAGGCATGGGCACCGCAGCCAACAGCGCCCCCTTGTGCTCGGAGAGGAGTGGGGAGGTGTCCGGGAGAGACAGGAGAGGCGGGAGGGCTGCCCCCTGCCCATCCTCTGACTTCATTTCCACCCCGAACGCCAGCGGCTCGACGTTCTCTGACTTCACCTCTCCCTGGAGAGCCACCGGGTTGAGGATGACCCCCGCGGCTGGGGAGAGGGGTTCCGGTGGGGCTTTGCCCATCTCCTCCGTCTTGGAGGGCTTGGGGCTCAGCAGGCTGGCAGAGCCGTTCAGGAGGATGGGTGGGCTGGGAGCTGCCACGGGGCTGAGGGTGAGGGTTTGGTTGTCTCCTAGAGTCAACCCGTTCAGGATGACCCCTCCGGTGGGGGTCTGGATCACCGAGCCCCCGTTCAGGAGCATGGCCGGGGGGGAGCTGGCGGTGATGAAGTTCCCGTTCAGAAGGATGGAAGAGGCGCTGGTGCAGGCCGCCGGCAGGAACAGGCCGCTGGGGGCCACGATTCCCTCATGGCTGGTGGACAGCCCCCCAGCAGCTTCCATGTCTTCAGGACCGCGGCTGGACTCGTCCTCTGTGCTGGGGTTCCCATCAGATTCACTGCAGGAGAGATCAGACGGTCAGTTCCCTAATACAGGCAGTCCTCAACTTACAACCCTTTGTTTAATGACTGTTTGAAATTACAATAGCACTGAAAGAGTGACCTGTGTCCATCCATCACACTTATAACTCGTACCACCCCCTCAGCTCACATGATCAGATGCTTGGCAAATGATTCACATTTACGACGGTTGCATAGTGTCCCAGGGCCACGTGATCCCCTTTTGCGACCTTCCGACAGACAAAGTCCCTGGGGAAGCCAGATTCACTTAACAACCAGGTTACTAACTTATCAACTGCAGTGATTCACTTAACAACTGAGGCAAGAAATGGGGCAAAACTCACTTAATAACTCTCTTGGTTAGCAACAGAAATTTGGGGCTCAATTGTAGCCGTAAGTCGAGGACTGCCTGTAATGCTGGGGTACAGGCTGCCCACCAAGACAATCCTTAAGGAGAAACAATCTTCAGCCTCTCTATGGCCCCCCCAAATTCAGGCCACTGCTTAGGAACTCGGGTGAGGGGCCTCATTTAGGGATCCCCGTTTCTCTGGGCCAGAACCAGCTACTCACTTTCTTCCTACAATTTTTCTTTAGGAGGTGAAGAGAACCTACACCAAGGAGCAGCAGCTCCATCTGATCCAGCAGCCAGCTTCCACCCTGGAGTCAACCACTTCTCCTTGCCAAGCTGAGAAGAAAGTTCTGGGAATGTCTAGAAACCGCGAGATGGTGAGTTCTAGTCCTACCTTAGACGTGAAAGTCAGTTTTGTGACTTCCCTCTCAAGCCCAACCACCTCACAGGGTTGTTGTTTTGGGGAAAATAGGAGGAGGAAGTATTATTAAATATGTTTGCAGCTTTGAGTTGCTTAATGAAGATAATTAAGGCAGGACATCAACAAATAAACAAAAAATATGGTGAGCCAATTTCCTTGAATACTAGCTGGCTGGTGCAAAGGAACAGTTTAGTTGTTTTGTCATCGACTAAAAAAAAATAACCCCATATTTCAGCCAACCTGAAAAGTGTGCTGAGATAAATGGCATATATAAATTTAATAAACAAACAAACTTAAGCTGCAGGAGTCAAAGTAGTAATGCAGATGCAGTATGGAAATTTCAGCCGCCTCTTTCTGAGGTGTGAAGTCCTAACGCTGGTTGAACAAACCACCTTTCTGTTTTCCTAGAGTAGGGGTCTCCAAACACGGCAACTTTAAGACCTGTGGACTTCAACTCCCAGAATTTCCCAGCCAGCAAGTTGCCAAGGTTGGAGAGCCCTGCTCTAGGAAAACAGAAAGGTGGTTTATGGACTGGCTGAGGAATTCTGGGAACTGAAGTCCACAAGTCTTAAGCTTGCCAAGTTTGGAGGCCCCTGCCCTAGAGACGTGGCTCCCACAATCAACCTGTCCAACTCGTGGCTATGTTCCACTTCCTTCAGGCTTACTCTAGAGGTTGCGCACGCCCAGCCCGTGTTTGTAAGCCTTCCCAACCCTTGAGGAAGAGGTGGAGCTCCGCTATCTGGAGAAGGAGGAGGAGGAGATGGTTCTGGGTCCCCACCCTTGCCCTGGGAAGGGAGGAGATCAGGAGAAAAAGGCCCAGCGAAATTCAATGCCTGGGATTCAGATTTCACAACAAAGGAGAACAGTCTTCCACGTTGTGTGGGCTGAAGACGGTGGAGGCAGGACTTTGGCTGGGGAAAAAGAGGACCTGCAGAAGCAGGGAAGGAGCTGCAGGGACATCTAAGCAGGATGGAGGCTCCATCACACCTCCCTGGAAGGGAGGCAACGGGCAGGAAAGTTCTCTCAGTTAAGGTTCTCCTAAACCAGTGGTTCTCAACCTTTCTAATGCCACGACCCCCATAATACAGTTCCCCATATTGTGGTGACCCCCAACCACTTATACATCACTGGGTGCCAGGGGCGTGGCCAAAGAAAAGGGGGAAAAATGGCGGACAGCCTTGTTTGGCGACCCCCGTGAAATGGTCGTTCGACCCCAAATGGGATCCCGACCCACAGGTTGAGAACCACTGTCCTAAATGGTCACAAGACCCAGAAGAGACCATCAGCTGCCTAGAGCAATGCTTCTCAGCCTTGGCCACTTCCAGCCAATTGTGGGAGTTGAGGTCCACATGTCTGAAAGCGACCAAGGTTGAGAAACGATGGCCTAGTTGCGTTTCATGGCTTCATGGAGAAAAGAGGAGGAAAACCGTGGGGTCCTTGGCGCTCTCTGAGCCTGGTGTTTCCTTGCAAACGTCTCATGACCCAACTAGGCAATGTCATCAGTGCTACTACTGCTGATACTGAGCACTGATGACGTTCCCTAGTTGGGTCATGAGATGTCTGCAAGAAAACCACCAAGCTCAGGGGGCACCAAGAACCCCTCATTTCAATCCTCTTCTATTGGTACCATAGGCTAATCCGGGAGTCCCCAAGGTGGCATCGGGGTCTCTACACCCCCCCCCCCCGGTTGGTCCCCCACCTCCTCTGCTTTTTTTCCCTGCACATTCAGAAAGTTCTCATAACTCCAAAGACATGGAAGCCAGCTGACACACTCGTCTCTAGCACCCCAAGAATGGTTCCAGGAACCCAGGGGAATGAAATGGCTGGTGGACAGATGGGGGGGGCATGTGTACCCCCTCAGGACACAGTCAAGGCGAGGGAGGGCCGGACGGGAGCTATCTGTGCAAGTCTGGTTGCCTCTGGGGTGGTTGGAAATTTGCACGGGGCCAAGTTGCAGCCCAGGGGCCATTTTGGGATGGGGTGGGCAAGCCCTCCCAGCAACCATTTTGCCAAAACAGCCCCCCCCCATTGCATTCCCCAGATTCCACAGGTGCCCCCTCCCCAATGCAGAAATGGGTGGCCACGGGTGCCCCCTCCCCAATGCAGAAATGGGTGGGGGCAGCAGGTGAAATCACCAGAAGACCTACTCAGGATCTGGGTTCAGTTTCATCCTGCTTTGGGGCTTGCTTGCCGAGTTGGGGGGCTGTTTATGCTCCAGACGTGCAGGAGTTGGCGACCCAACCTCTTAGGGCTGCATGCCCCGTCCCATCTTGGGGTGCACCGGTCCAGGCTTTGAACCTCAGCCTCTCCGGGGATTATGGGGACCGACCTCCCACTTCCTTCGCAACCCTCCGGTTCGCAAGGGGCCCGGATAGCCTGCGCAGGCACATGGAGGCTCTACCTCTCTCCCTGCCTAGCCGTACCCCAAGGCGCAGAGGCGGCCTTCCAGCAGCCGCAGCCAAGCCGGCGCGCTCTGCCCATGCCCAGAGGGCCGCCCGCCTCGACGGGCAGCTCCCGCTCACCTCTTGCTGGGCGTGCCTCCTCCTCCTCCTCCCGCTGCTCCTCCATCCGCTCCGCCACCGCCGCCGCCGCCGCCTCGGTCGCGCTGCCGCCGGTTCTTGAACCAGTTGCTGACCTGGGTGAGCGAGAGGCCGGTGTCGCGGGCCAGGCGGCGTTTCTGCTCGGGACTCGGGTAGCGGCTGCGCCCGTAGGAGTCGCGCAGGGCGGCGCGGGAGCGGCGCTTGAAGCAGTAGACCGTCTCCTCGCCGTCCCAGATGGTGGCCGGCAGCGGGAACTTCTTGCGCAGGCGGTACTTGTCGACGGCGCCCAGCGCCCGGCCCCGCGCCGCCTCCGCCTCCCGGTAGCGCGCCCGCAGGTAGAGGTCCTGCAGGAAGGGGTGGTGGGGCGCCCCGAAGGGCCGGCTCTGCACCAGCCGGTACAGCTCGCCGAAGTCGGCCTGCTCGAAGGCCAGCAGCGCCCGCGCCTTGGCCAGGCTCTCGCCCGCCGAGCCCGACGACGCCTCCAGCCGCGCCGCCTCCTCGGCCGGCAGCGAGCCCAGGAAGCGGCCCAGCCGGCCCGGGTCGCCCGCCTGCAGCAGCGCCTCGCACACGCACGAGACCTGCTCGGCCGAGAAGCGCGGCAGGCCGGCGGCCGCAGCGGCAGCGGCAGGAGGAGGAGGAGAAGGCGCTGCAGGAAGCGGAGGCGCGCCGGGCTCCGCGCGGGACGGGGCGGGCGGCGAAGTTGGCAAAAGTTTGCGCGGCTCCGCTCCGCCGCTGCCCGGCGCGGCCGGCGGGGTTGCGGGTGGGCCGCGGCCGGGAGGCTCGGCGGGCTCGGAGGGGAAGGAGGCCATGTTCGGGCGCGGGAGTCCGGCCCCCCTCGCCTGCCTGCCTGCCCGCCCGCCTCCCTCCGGCCCGGTCCCCTCCCCGTCCGGCCCCCTCGCGCCCCTAGCCGCGCGCGCCTCCGCCCGCCCGCATTCTCCCTCCCTCCCTTCCGCCCCGCCGCTGCCCCCCCCCCGAGCCCCTCCCTAGTCCGCCCGGCCCTCCAACCTCACTTTCTCCTCCTCCTCCTCCTCCCTCCTCCTTGGGGCGGGGCTCCTCCTCCTGCGGCCAGGCGCTCTCCCTTCTGGCGAGGCTGCGCCCAACCCCGATCTCCCTCCCCCCTTCGGTTGGGATCCCCCCCATCCCGCGCCCCGCGAAGCTCCAAAGCAGCGCCAGACGTGTCCTTTCCAAGATAAGTTGCTTCCCCCCCCCCAAGTCCCCTCCCTCAAGGACGGGGAAAGCTGCTTGGACCGCACTTGTCGGGCCCCTGGGAGCCCCTCCGAACTCCAAAACGGGGTGCTCCATCGCTGGAGGTTTGCAAGAAAAGATTGGACAAGCTTTTGTCCTGGATGGGATGAGGGTTTTCCCACCATGAGCATGGGGTGGACTAGAAGACCTCCGAGGTCCCTTCCAGCACTGGGATTCGAAGAGAGCCAGGATGGACTTGAACGTGGGTTTGCCCCATCCTGGATTTCAACTTCCATAAAGCTCAGCCAGGGTTGGTGGGGGGGAGGCTTGAGACTAAGGAGAAACTGCTCTGCCCTATTCAGCATCTGGCCACTGATCAAGGGGCCTTATGCCCCATTTGGGGTCTGGTCTCCCAGGCCATGAGTCTGCTGCCTCCTTGTGTGTCTCTGTGCTCAGATGCTCCCTGTCCTGGTTAGTGTTTAGCCCTGGTTCAACTTCTCTTACACCAGCGCTGTCCAACCTTGTCAACTTGTGGCTTTCAACTCCCAAAATTCTCCAGCCAGCTTTGTCCTTCTAGCTTTATCCACAAGTCTTAATGAGGCTAAGGTTGAACACCCCTGTCTTAGATAGTCTCCCCCCCCCCTCTCTCTCTCTCTCACACACACACACACACACACACAACCACACATAAACAAACACATACCCTGCACTTAGTTGGGGAAGGTTGCTGTGAAAAGCAGGTGTAAATTCCTTGCCTGCTTCCAGGTGTCCTTTGGAGAGGCAGCCATTGGAGGTCAAAGCTGCAGGAGCACAATCTTTCCTTCACAGCCTGTGTGGCCTGGTCTGGCCAGGATCCATGGGTCAGCAAGTGCTGAAGGGTCAGTAAGGGCATTCTGGGTGCTGGCATCTCCACTGGATAGGGGCCCAACTGCTGTCAACATGGGTGCTATCTGTAGTCAGGGACAGCTGCCTGCCATGAATTCCCTTTATCACAATTTTACTGCTCTCGGCATTCCTTTTTTTTTTATGGCGGTTGCTTGAGGGCTATAGAGATAACAAAGTTATAAATATTTCTGCAATACAATAACACAATAATATTGTAAAGAGAGGGGACTTTAGAGCTTTCAGAAAACCCCTGATCAGGGCATAAAAGCACTAACGTTGTGGAACTGTGAGCCTCTAATAGTGCATGAATATGTATGAAACTCCCACTGCCCCTGTGAGTGGAGACGTCAATATTTCTCTCTCTCTCTCTCTCTCTCTCTCTCTCTCCCTCCCTCTCTCTCTCTCTCTCTCTTATCTATCACATTTCTGTCTCTGTTTCTGTATCTATGTATATCTATCTATTCTTTCAGTCTATCTATTCACTGTATCTATCTATCTATCATCTATCCATCCATCCATCCATTCATCCATCACATTTAGAAACCAACATGTCACAAATAACACATTTTAAACTGTTAATTACAACAATGCTCAAATATTGTGGCCCTTGTGAGGGCCAGCTAGCTTGGGAATTCTGGGAGCTGAAGTCCACAAAGTTGCCAAGGTTGGAAAACTGTGCTCTAAAGAGATAAAAGCCCATGCTCTGATCAAAATCTCTTCCACTGTCCCTGTCCCTCATCCCCATGCTGTCTCAATCCTCCCACAGAAACACTTTTCATTGCCTAGTTCGATGAAGACTTATGAGAAACTTGAAAATCTGCCCTTGATATATTAAGTTGGCCCTAACCACTTGAAGAATTCTAAAATCACCTGCCATTCCCAGACTGAACACTAGGGGTCGATATTGACCACGCACATTTGTTAATGATTAATGGAGAATTCTGGTTACTTAGAAACGGGGGGGGGGGGGAAACAAGGACAAAACTTCTTAATATCTATAGGTAATAAGTCCTGTTTGCAGATAAGAAATTGCAGTGGTATGTTGGACATCCCGGCATGGGATAAAAATGGGCAGAAAGGCTGCATCTGTTTTAAAATCAGAAATCCGGAAGCGCCTTTTCCGACGAACCAATTTTAGTAGAAAGTTTTGTGAACTGCCTTTTGATAAAATCCCATTTTATTCAATCTATTAATAACATAAAATAAGAAAGTGCACTCCCAGATTCATGATTTTTCCCTAAATGAAAGCTCCTCAAGTATCTAATCTGTTTTGTTATTTGAAAAGATACATAGCAACACAAAGTATTACTAAGTGTTTAGTGTTTCCTTTGTTTCAGTGTATAGGAAACCAAACGGCAGGAGATGCTTAGAAAATTAAAAATAACTTTTGGGGAGTATTTCTTAGGTGAAATATATAAGGCAGAGTTAGATGGCCAGAATGTGTTTTTTATGACTCTATCAGAAACTAATAATTTATTGATGTTGGATGCAAAGTTCATATATCTAAAGATGAATTTTCTGAAGTCTGGCCACTTTAAGATGGGTGGAGTTCAACTCCCAGAATTCCCCAGCCAGCCATGCTGGCTAGGGAATTCTGGGAGTTGAACTCCACCCATCTTAAAGTGCCACCACAACAGTGCAATCAAAGCCCGCAATCCATATAAGTGGAATTAATCACATGGCAGCCATTTTGATGTTTTTGAACCCCTCAGCTCTTTACTTTGCTCCTGAGGAAACCAAAAAGAAAAACAGCTGTGAAAACTTTGCCATTTAGCTTTTGCTGCCTGTGAAGGCAGCCTGGAAGGGTCTCTGCTGTCAAGAGACAGTGTGAAGGTCTCTAATCTATGGCCCCAAACATTCATTGGGGCAGGGGATGAAAAGAGGAGGCTGAGAACGCTTGCAAACCCTTCCCAGCGAGCTCCCCCCCCCAAAACGCTGGCTGCTCCATGGTTCCATTTAGGCTGCAGGAATGTTGCTATGCTAAACATAGCTTGGTGGAGCCTGGCCAGAAACAGCTTGCAAGGGGAGGTGAGGGGGGGGGGTGGGTGGGATGCTTTCCAGCCACCTGACACCATCCCAGCAGGGAGTGGGGGGGGTTAAGGGCACTCCTTCAAGCAGAAGTAACCCCCCTCAAATGTCTTCACGGCCTGGATGGGTGGGGAAGAATCCCACCCCTCCGATCCTCTTCCCTGTTTACATCCTTATCGCTCTTGTGCATATAAATGGGTATTTATGAGTTTGCACTGACGGGTTTTGTCTGTCCTTTTTGCAAATGAATAATCCCGGCCTTTCCATGCTGCTCCAGCAATCTCAACTCCATCCTACCCTATTTGCCAACTTCTCCAGCCCTAAGGCAAGGTGTATTTTTTTTCCACATGGTAGGAGGATGTCATTGGTGGAAAATGGCTTGGTCGGATCAGGTCAGAACGTTGATGTGTGAATGAGGTACCCCAGCAAGGAAAGGTTTGCACGTGGTCTGTTGGAAGGCTGGTCCTTCAGGATCCTAATAGGTGGGGGAGCAAGCCAGACTGGCTTTTTAATTAAGGTGGTGTCAATCAATCAGAATGGAGCTGGAAGGGACCTTGGAGGTCTTAATACCACTTTACAAGTCCTTGGGAAGGCCACACTTGGAAGACGGTGTCCAGTTTTGGTCACCACGATGTGAAAAAGATGCTGAGACTCTAGAATAGAGTGCAGAGAAGAGCAACAAAGAGGATCGGGACTGGAGGCTAAAACATACAGGGAACGGTTGCTGGAATTGGGTATGTCTAGTTTAACGAAGAGAAAGAATAGGAGGGTGACATGATAGCAATTTTCCAATATCTCAGGGGCTGCCCCAAAGAAGAGGGAGTCAAGCTACTCTCCAAAGCGCCTGAAGGCAGGACAAGAAGCAACAGATGGAAACTAACCAAGGAGAGAAGCAACCTGGAACTAAGGAGAAACTTCCTGACAGTGAGAACAATTAACCAGTGGAACAACCTGCCTCCAGAAGCAGTGAATGCTCCAACACTGGAAGTTTTTAAGAAGTAACTGGATAGCCATTTGTCTGAAATGGTATAGGGTTTCCTGCCTGAGCAGGGGGTTGGACTTGATGACCTCCAAGGTCCCTTCCAAATTTTTTATTTATTACTACTACTACTACTACTACTACTACTACTACTACTACTACTACTACTACTATTATTATTATTATTATTGTTATTATTATAGTCCAATCCCCTGCTCAAGCAGGAGACCCTATACCAATTCACACAAATGGTTGTCCTGTCTTTTGTTAAAAACCTTCAGTGTTGGAGCACTTACAACTTCTGGAGAGAAGCCATTTCACTGATTTAATTGTTCTAACTGCCAGGGAGTTTCTCCTTAATTCCAGGTTGCTTCTCTCCTTGATTAGTTTCCATCTGTTGCTTCTTGTCCTGCCTTCAGTGCTTTGGAGAAGAGCTTGACCCCCATTTCTCTGGGGCAGCTCCTCAAATACTGGAAGACGGTTATATCACCCCTAGTCCTTCTCCTCGTTAGAGAGCTGAACAGCGCATCAGGAGCAAAGAGTGTTCCAGACCCCCAAAGTAGATAGCATAACTGTGATTTGCAGGAGGGCTTTTTAAACCCCCTGCCAGAAGCTGCAAGACAGAAACCTGATGGACCCCAGGCACGGAAGAGTTAAAAGGAGAAGATCAGCCTCTTGGCCTGTAGCTCCATTCCTGAGACCTTTGAAGGGGCACCCTAGCCTGTTTGCTCCTGCACAGGCCTTGGCACAGGACGGCAAGCCAGGCTGGATTGGGCAGGACGGAGCAGGAGGGCAAGGTGTGGCTTGTTGGGGGGGGGGGGGCTGAGACGGAGAGGGAAGCCAGGAGGGGGGCAGAAAGAGGGCTGGTGCTTTTTTTCCCCCAGGGAGGGCCTGGGGGGAGAGGGTTTGGGCACCTGGAACCCGGCAGATCAGCCAGGGAAGGCCAGCCCCAGGGTGTGCCAAGCACAGGCAGCCAGCGGCGGACAGACGGGGTGGGAAGGGAGCGTGCAAGACCCGGAGAAGGAGCCTATTTTGGCTCGAAAGGCAGCGCACTTGGGACACTGGGAAAGGCGTGGAAAGGCTGGCGTCTTGCATGTTTGTGCGCTCCGGGAGGGGAAAGAACCTCATCACTTCCACTCTGGGTGATCACAAGGCAGGCAGGAGGCTGCGTGGGGGAGAGACCCTGTGTGTGCACCAGGAAGGGAGGAAGGGAGGAAGGGCTGGCTCCGGAGTGTGCAGGAAAGAGAAATCACTTGGAGTGTGAGAGAGTTATAAAGAAGTTGTCCAGCCCTGCTTTTGTGGGACAGTGAGCATCCCTCCCAAGAAGCCGGTGGATTAAAGAACTTGTGTGGACACCCAGGAAGGAGATGACCAGCCAAGAGGGTGCTCACTTGATGTAGCCCCTTCCCATAGCTGCAGCTGGACCTCCTAGGCTGCAGCCAGAGACCCCGTGGACAGTGCACCCAGTCTGGAGGGAGCCCACCTGGAGCATCCCCAGCGTCCACCTAAGCTAGCCCCATGGCAGCAGAGGTCCGACTGAAGAAACTGGAGGAGCTGGTCCTTGACCCCAGGATGGTGGGCTTGGAGACCCTGGTGGACCTCCTGCTGTGCGTGCATCATGAGCTGAGCACTTCACCCCTGGCCCAGGAGAAATACATCACGGAGTTCCTACAATGGGGTGAGTCCTGTTGGTATCTGTCATGGGGGTGCTGGGGATATCTTGGTTTATGGTGGTTGATGTGCTACTCCAAAGAGGGCAGTGAGAAGGGGGGGCACTACAGATTCCCAGGGAGTTTGTAGCTTTTGGCCATAGCTGCCCAGAGTTGCTTTGCAAACTGAGATGGGTGACATAGCTAGTTTGGTCTAGTAATGAAGGCACCAAGCTAGGAACTGGGAGACGGTGAAGTCTAGTCCCATCATAGACCTGAAGGCCAGCTAGGTGACTTTGGGCCAATCGCTAGGAGACAATCATAGACCTGAAAGCCAGCTGGGTTACTGTGAGTGAATCACCAGGAGACGGTGAGTTCTAGTTCCACCTTATGTGGGAAATCCGCCTGGGTGACTTTGGGCCAGTTCCTCCTCCCTCTCAGCCCAACCCACCTCACAGGGTTGTCGTTGTGGGGAAAAACAGGACAAGGAAGCAGTACTGTGTGTATGGATGCCTTGAGTTATTTATAAAAACAATAAAGTTGGGATATAAATAAATACAAAGTAAGCCCCCCCCAATTGAACGAACAAACAAACAAAATACCCTCAATTCTATTTTATCATCTACTTAGAACTTTTGATTAATCCGAGCTCTGAAACTTGGAAAAAGATTTGTTTCCAATTGGTATGTTTTGGGGTGCTGAAAGCGATATCTTCCACCCTTTCATAAATTAGGCCATGACTAATTGTGGGTTGTGGGTCATACTTCTGGGAATTTGTTTTCAAGCTGAGAAAGTTGTCCTCAGCATCGTTTTTTTTGGTCCTATGGCTTTCCCTGTTTCAGGCAGGCCTGGGGAATACCGAATAAATTTTCTGGATTGTGAGCTTTGTTGAAACGCCACGCTCTCCAGAGACCGAAATTTTAGTTGTTAAGGACAAGTTTCTCTTCAAGAGCTGTCAAGGTGGTTTTTTGTTTTTTTTTTCATCTACACCTGAACATTTGGGAAAGTAGCCAATTTGAAACAGGAGGAAATGATCTACATGTTTTATATTTTACTTGGGCCCGCCCAAAAGGAAAGACTCTCGCACAGATGACAAAAACGGCTTAGCTGATTGCTTGGAAATAATTACAGGTAGATGCCTGTCCCAAAACTGGAAAACCCGAAATCAAACCGACAGCAACAATAAACTCTTTTGCTCAGAATCAACGTGAAGGACGTGCTTTGTGCTGCAATTATTTTTAGCCATTCAAGATACTAAGAGATGCCATTTACTTTTTATTTTATTTTTTTATTTACCATGTTATTCTTTTTTTTTTAACTTAACCCTGAAGCCTTTTTTGAGGATCATCTTGGTTTTTCCCCTCTCTTTCCCTTTTCTTTGAATTCCACTATATGCACATATTTTTTTTTCATAATAAATGCTTTTTTAAAAGAAGAAAGAAAAGAGAGAAGGTTTCTTCCAAACTTATCCAGGGAAGCTTGAAAAAAAAAAACACCATGAAGAGTTAAGACTAAAGTGATAGAGAGGAATGGATGCAATTAACCTGTTCTTTGAAAGTCACCGTTTAGTTGATGAGTTGTGTTTATCACTGAGATCCAGGAACCTGGAAGCCTGGATTTGTGGCTTTAGGGTTGAATTTACTTTTGAACTGGCACTTCCTTATTTCCTTATGACTGGAGGCTGGACCAAACTTTGAATCCTTTCACACACCCTTGTTTCTTATTTTATTTATTTATGAGACTTATATACCGCTTTAAGTGCAAGCACTCTCTAAGCGGTGTACTCCAGTAAACAATGTATATATATATTTACATTGCCCCCAACAATCTGGGTCCTCATTTTACCTACCTCGGAAGGATGGAAGGCTGAGTCAACCTTGAGCCGGTGAGATTTGAACCACTGACCTGCTGAACACAGTCAGCTAAAGTGGCCTGCAGTACTGCACTCTTAACTGCTGTGCCACCTCGGCTCTCTCTCGTCTTTTAAGCATAGTCTCCTTAGCGCAGTGGTTCTCAACCTGTGGGTCGGGACCCCATTTGGGGTTGAACGACCATTTCACGGGGGTCGCCAAACAGCGCAGTCCGCCTTTTTCCCCCCTTTTCCTTAGCTGTGCTCCTCCCTTTTATTCTATTGGCTTTTGAAAGCCAATAGAAGAGACTCTCTTGAATAGAGTCTAATTCCATTGGCTTTCAAAAGCCAATAGGAATGGTCCAGGCTGTCTCTGCCCTGCTGAGCCCGCCAAAAGTCCCATTCTGCAAACGGTGCTGCACCAGTTGAGTAGTCCTCGACTTAACGACCGGTTGAGTAGTCCTCGACTTACAACCGGTTGGGGGAGGTCTTGGCATTAAAAAGGTTGAGAACCACTGCCTTAGAGGAAGGGGGGATTGAACCGACGCAACTGCCTGGTTGCTTGAATAAGGACTGACTCCTGCTTTGGGTAGGAGATTGGACTGGGAGTTCTCCAAGATCCCTTCCAGCCCTAGAAGTCCATGATTCTTTGTAGTCTACTCATGAGTTTTTTTTTTTTGTAAGAGCAATTAAGATGATTAAAGACCTGAGGACTGAAACATACAAAGAACGTTGCAGGATTTGGGTATGGCCAGTCTAGAGAAAAGAAGGGCTGGGGGGGGGGACATGATAGCCGTATTCCAGTATTTGAGAGGCTGCCGCAAAGAAGAGGAGCGGGTCAATTTTATTTTCCAAAGCCCCAGAAGGCAGGAGAAGAAGCAACGGATGGAAAACGAACCAAGGAGAGAAGCAACCTGGAACTAAGAAGAAACTTCCTGACAGTGAGGACAATTAACCAGTGGAACCGCCTGCCTCCAGAAGCGGTGAAGGCTCCAACACTGGAGGTTTTTAAGAAGAGACTGGACAGTCACTTGTCTGAAATGGTACAGCAGGGGTTGGACTAGAAGAGCAGGGGGGTTGGGCTAGATGACCTCCAAGGTCTCTTGCAACTCTATTCTGATTGATTGAAGATCTGAGTATTAACAGAACTTGCTTGTTTCGGTGTAGACCGGGGTGTCCAACTTTGGCAACGTGAAGACCTGTGGACTTCGACTCCCAGCATAGCTGGCTGTGGAATTCTGGGAGTCGAAGTCCACAGGTCTTCACGTTGCCAAAGTTGGACCTCTCTGATGTAGACCAAGACAGCTTTGATTTTTATAGTTCCCTAATGCCGGGTGAGGCGTGATCTGGAAGATTTGCCTGGTAGAGCAGAGCCTGGAGCTTCCTGGACTCCAGTGAGACGTTTCTAGGCTGCTGTGACTTTGGAAAATGCCATAAAAGGCCTCCTGCGTAGGGCAGCTGGGCCTCTTCTCCGCTCTTTGCCTTCTCACTCTCTTCTCCGTTGCTCCACGGGGCTTTTTATTCCCCCTGGGAAGCAATGGCTCCTTTTTCCTGCTTTTCCTTGCAAAAGGGGCCCGTGGGCTGGCAGGGAATGGGGCAAGGGCTGCTGGCGGGTGGGGGGAAGTGGGGGTAGGGGCAGGTTTTCCAAGCGGTTGTGAAGGGCAGGAGAGTGCCCGGATTTGGCTGTGAACTGTTGGGATATTCAGATGAACAGAATTAGCTTCAGATGTCCTCCATCTTAAAGGGAAATAAGGATGGTCCTCGACTTATAACAATTCATCAAGCGGCCGTTCAAAGTTACAACTGGATTGGAAACAAAAATGACTTATGCCCGTTGCAGCAACCCCACGGTCACGTGACCAAAATTCAGACGTTTGGAAACTG